ACTAGGCTGCAGCCGACGTATCAGAGGGACGTGCATAAACGCGAAATGCAGGACGATGGAGTGAAGAACGAGGTGCGGAAAACACGGAATGACAAAACGAAACGAATGGAGGGTGACGAGAAGGGAAGGCGAGGGGAAAGGCACTTCCCAGTTGCTTTGCTGGCCACGAGATGACAGTGTTGCCTTGCTGCTCCACGAGCGGGTGGTCAGCAGGGCGGGTAGAGGCAGCCCCCACGCCAGTGGCTGCCGGCCGTGCGTCATCCCACCACACCGCGCTCCTCTTCTCCTCGCCTCCTCTGCTGTCTTCTTTGCTACCCCCCTCCTCCTCCACGTTTCTGGACAGACAAGGCACACAAAACATGGCAAACACAATAAGGGACTTATGGAAGACAGAATTACGGCAGATAGAGTACAGGAAAAGGAAACCGAAATGACGAAAGCGGAATGAAGGCAAACAGAAAAAATCAAGAAAGAAGGTTACCAGCAAAGAGCAGAGGCGAAGCTTGTGCTCCTCTCCAGAGTCGCTGCAGCGAGTGCTGGCATGATCCCACCGCTCGCCACTCCCTCTCACTGCGCTGCACCTCCTCTGCTCTCCCAAGGCTGCGCGTCTGCACGGAGCTGGAGACAAGGGAGGTGAGGCAGGGCGTGAGCAAAAAAAAAAAAAAAACAGGAACAACGGAAGCAGAACTGAGGCTAGAAAGAGTAAAGGAAAACAGGAACAACTGAAGACAGAAATACAGCAGACATAGTGAAGCAGAATGAAGGCAAACAGAAGAAAATCAAGAAAGAAAAATACCAGCAAAGAGCAGAGGCGACGCAACAGCCAGCCAGGGCCTCCGCACTCCAGCAGCGCCAGTATCAGATCAGCCAGGCTCCTCTCCTCCTCCGCACCTCCAGCACTCCAGCAGTGAGAGAGAACCAGCCCGTCCACCTCAGCAAATTGCCCGTCCACCTCAGCAGCGCCAGGATCAGCCAGCAGCACTCCAGTAGCGCCCGAATCGCTAACGCGCTCGCTCCAGTTCTCCTCTGCTGGCACCTCTGCTGCTCCTATATTGGCTCCTCTCCTCTCCTTCACATTCTGCCTTGTTCCCAAACCGCCTTCACCGCTGTTCACCGCGCCAGCCGCATGCCTTCACCGCTCTTCACCGCGCCAGCCGCATGCCTTCACCGCTGTTCACCACACCACCCACACGCCTTCACGCTGTTCACCGCGCCAGCCGCACGCCTTCACCGCTCTTCACCGCGCCAGCCGCACGCCTTCACCGCTGTTCACCGCGCCAGCTGCACATCGTCGCACGCGGTAAGTCGTCATCTTCCGCAAACCGTCGCACGGGACGTCGCCAGCATCCGCGCACAGTCGCATGCAGTATGTCCCCAGCATCCGCACAACATCGCACGCGGAAGGTCGCCGTGTTAATCGCCGACTCCCGCACACGTAGCAGGCGGTACGACGCCATTCGCACGGCCTCGCACGCTTAGTCGCCATCTTCCGCACACGGACGCGCGCGGTACGTACGTCGCATGCCGCCATCTTGCGTCATCTTCCGCTCACAGACACGGACGCACGCCGTACGTCCCATGCCCTTCGTCGCACATCGTCGCATGCATCCGAACAGTGCCGGCACGAGAAACGTCGCACGCGGTAAGTCGCCATCTTCCGCACACGGACGCGCGCGATATGTCGCATGCCGTTCGTCGCACATCGTTGCATGCCGATCGTCTCACAACGTCGCACGCCGATCGTCTCACAACGTCGCACGCCGATCGTCGCACGCGGCAAGTCTCGCCATCATCCGCACACCGTCGCACGCGGTAAGTCGCCATCATCCGCACACCGTCGCACGCGGTAAGTCGCCATCATTCGCACACCGTCGCACGGGGAAAATCGCCCGCGGTACGTCGCATGCCGATTGTCGCACGTCGCATGCGCGATGTCGCCCGCATCCGCACGGCGTCGCATGCGGAACGTCGCACGCGTTAAGTCGCTATCTTCCGCACACCTTACGCGGTTGGCCGCCGTCTTCCGCACACGGTCAAACGCGTGAAGTCGTAATTGTCCACACACCGTCGCACAGGGAACGTCGCACGCGGTTCGTCGCCATCTTCCACACATCGTCGCTAGCCGTTGGACATTCGCTAGTCGCTATTATTTCTCTTCCGCACGTCTTTCGCCGCTCGTCAGGTTGCAGCCCGTTGCTCGGAGTAGTTAACCCATTAGTTTCCGCCGTGTGTCACCGTGTCGCCGTGAGTCACCGTGACGCCAAATGCCGGATGCTTTGAGACTGCTTCCGTCGTCCCGAAGGTGCCTATCTTTGTTGCTGATGATGATGCTCGTAGATCATTACGGACACCAGATGCCGGTCGCCTTGATACTTGAGATTCACTCGCCATCTGACCATTACGGCACCATTCTGACGTGAAAACCGTCTACCCTGTTGGAAACTGCCGTAATAACACTCCGTGCTTCCGGTGCTCCCTGAAGATGCTAGCAGAAGCGGCTCGTATGCCATTCCTGACACGGTGCTGCTTCACGTATCATAACGCCTTGACTCAACGTTCGGAGATCGGCGACCATGGCAGCCATCGGCGAGTAGTTGGATGTACGACCTTCTCGGAACGACGCTTAAGTGCCGGAACGGAAGCGAAATACACTTCAACTAGAGTGGCGGAAACCTTATCAGGAGAGGCCCGTAACGGATCATGTTAATGAGCTGGGAATTATTGGTTGATTGTCAGTATATCAGATTTGAGATGCTGAAACTTAACGTAGTAGGTAATGTTCGCGGAAACAAAACGGTGGAATTGCCTTAGCGGTTACAAATAATAACTACCGCGGTTATAAGCTAAGAGGCGAGCAGTTAACATCAGCCTATCAGAAGCTAGATCATGATGCTGACATGGCTCTACCAGTTCTCCCACTGGAACAGGATTATCGAGATAAGCTACTACTGTCATAAGTCGTCATAAGAATAGATATAATCGTAGTAAGCTACATCTCTGAGAGATTTCGAGAGCAGCCATGGCGAGCTGAGAAAGCCATGGAAACAAGCACGAGCTAACGCTGACTAGAGAGAATCAGTGAAATGAACTGGAGAATCTGGCAGAGGTGACTGGAATGGTCTTGGGAGTGTCGCCAGGTTGAACTGCGTCTCTGGGAGGCTGCATGAACTTGCAGGAGGGAGGCGAGGTGATGACAGGCGAGAGGGAGTCGCCAAAACAGAGGCTTCCGCTGGTCTCCGCCCGCCGCACAGGTCGCCGCAAAGCTTTCGCGAGCCAATGACAAAAGCGTAACTGAGGCTATCTGAGTCAGACGACTTTCGCCACCGGGATCGGTCCCCAAAGCAGCCGCTCAGCTGCGCTGGGCCCGACGAAGCGCGGGTCTTTGAAAATTCTAGGCGGGAGACTGCCGCAGCAGGTGTGCCAGAAAGGGTTCCGCCGTAATACGGAATGAAGGGATCATCCCCGCAAGGGATCATCTCCGCACAGCCAAAAGAGAAACTATACATCGCAAGTATATATAAATGTTTTTTTTCCGCAAGTTATCCATCTACAGTCCCATGATCACGCACAGCCATATATAGTGTAGACTCCTTTTGGCGAAATAAATGAATCCTTTTTCACGTGGGACAGCAACAATAGAGTAATATCCTATCTGCGTTTGCAGCAAGAGAGTATCTCAAGGGCGCAAGACGCGCCCTACCTTTATGTGACCACTCTCATCATTCGTTGGATTGAATATTCATGAGCACCTCATTTCACAGCCACCTATCTGGCCGGTGGCCAGTGGCCAGGCACAACCAGGCCAAACATTAGTGTAGCAGTTGACATACTTGTCAACCGCTGTATCACCCCGACCCTGCGCCCTGACCCCTGCACCCTGCACCCTGACCCCTGCACCCTGACCCCTGCACCCTGACCCCTGCACCCCGCACTCCGCACCCTTCACCCCGCACCCTGCACCCCGCACCCTGCACCCAGCAACCTGCCCTCAGCATAGCACAGCACAGCACACGCCACAAAGTGGCACAAGGTGTGCCTCTCAGCAGCACAGCCTGCAGCTGACAACCAGCCCACTGTCATCCCCATGGCCACCACTGCACCCACCATCACCACCGTCATCAGGAGTGCAGACACCGCTTTGTTGAGTGCCCCTGGCAGCACATGAGAGCCTTCCACTTGCTCCACCTCTGCAATCCCCACAGGCCGCAGTGCAATCAGCATCACCCCTCACCCACAGCGCCAGCAGCGCAACCAGCATGACGGTCAGAGCCAGGGCCAGCAGGGCAGGGAGCAGAGCAGGGAGGAGAGCGAGTGCAGGTGGCATGAGCGGTATGCACGGTAGAGCATGAGCGGCGTGCGCGGGGGCAGCGGGCAGGTGTGCCTCCCAGCAGCACGGCTAGCAGCTGACAACCAGCCCACTGCCATCCCCATCGCCAGCAGTGCACCCACCATCACCACCACCAGTGCAGAAACGGCTTTGTTGAGTGCGCCTCGCGGCACATGAGAGCCTTCCACTCGCTCTACCTCAACACACCCCTCTGCAATGTGCCTCCCAGCAGCACAGCCTGCAGCTGACAACCAGCCCACTGTGATATGATCCCCAGAGCCACCAGTGCACCCACCATCTGCACCACCACCACCAGTGCAGAATCCGCTTTGTTGAGTGCGCCTAGCAGCATATGAGAGCCTTCCACTTGCTCCACCTCAACGCACCCCTCTGCGATCCCCACGGGCCGCAGTGGAACCAGCATCACCCCTCACCCTCAGCGCCAGCAGTGAAACCAGCATGATGATCAGAGCCAGGGCCAGCAGGGCAGGGAGCAGAGCAGCGAGGAGAGCGAGTGCAGGTGGCGCGAGCGGTAGGCGCGGTACAGCATGAGCGGTTCATGCATCAGAAGCAACATGAGCTGCTTTCTTGAGTGCCCCTCAAGGCACACGAGGAGCGTGCACTTGCTCCCTGCAACGAACTTCTCCCCCCTCCTCCCCCCTCCCCCCTCTCCTCACAGCCAGGGCCAGCAGGGCAGGGAGCAGAGCAGCGAGGAGAGCGAGTGCAGGTGGCGCGAGCGGTAGGCGCGGTACAGCATGAGCGGCGTGCGCGGGGGCAGGGGGGGTGGGGCTCGCTGCCAGCGCTGGGAGGTTGGATCGCGCGTGAAGACCCGGGGCGCCCCGTTGGGGAAGAGCGTGTCTGTGTCCGGTGACTGGGCTAACAGCCGGTAGCAGCTGCAGGGAAACGGAGGGGGGAAAGGGGAGATGAGCAGAGGGGAGGTTGAGAGGAAGTAAAGGGGCAGTGGGGGAGGTGCGCGCTGCCAACGCGGCCGCCGCTGGGAAGAGCGTGTCTGTGTCTGGTGACTGGGCTAGCAGATTGTAGCAGCTACAGGGATGGGTGAGGGAAGAGGCAGAAAGGGAGGGGGAGGAGGGAAGGCGTTGCAGGAGAGGGGGGAAAGGGTGAGGAGCAGCGGGAGGGGGTGAAAAAGGGTAACGTGAAGGAGGTGAAGGTATGGCAGAGAGAAAAAATGCTGCAATGACATGCATGCAACAGCAAGCCTTCACGTGGGGATAGAGGGAGGGATCAGCAACAAGCACCCCTCACCTGCGGATGAAGGGCAGCAAGTCGGGTCCCTCGGCCAGTGGCGACGTGGAGTTGGCATGCAGCAGCTCGCTGCGGTGAATGCCTTAGCGCAAGCCAGGCCAGACCACGTGTGTCAGCATGCAACGCACATGTGTGCAGCAAGCAGCCCTCAGCCCTCACCTGCGGATGAAGGGCAGGAAGTCAGGTCCCTCAGCCAGTGGCGATGTGGAGTTGGCGTGTAGAAGCTCGTGATCCGTCATGCTCAGACGCTGGTGGGCTAACGCTGCTGCATCTATCAGCCTGATGGGGGGAAGCAGTGGGGGAAGGGGACGGGCAATGGGGGGGGCAATGGGGGACAGTGAGTTGACGTGCAGCAGCTCGTGATCCGTCATGCTCAGGCGCTGCCGCGCTAGTGCTGTCGCGTCCATGAGCCTGAGATGCAGACACTGAAAGGGAGGAGTGGAAAGAGATGCAAGGCGGTGAGTTGGCGTGCAGCAGCTCATGGTCCGACATGCTCAGGCGCTGCCGGGCCAGTGCTGCCATGTCCATTAGCCTGACAAGGAATGGCGGACAACGGGGGAACGGGAGAACATGGGAGAGATACGGACCACGGAGTTGACGCACCATGAACAGCGCGGATCGATGCCCTGTGCAGTGCACTGACAGATACAAACGAAAAAAGTGAGACAGGGAAGGGGGCACGGGGATACAAACGATAGGTCACCGCATTCCTACTAGGTAGGTGGGGATCGGCATTGTTTGTCTCATTCTACCTGGTGGGCGGCAGCACGAATCGGTCCATCTGAGAGTCGTAGAAGCGGGTGAGGCGGCCCTGGGGACAGAGAGGGCCGCACAGAGCGGTGCAGAGCGGTGCAAGCGCGGCGGGGGGGAGGGTGGAGAGCAGACCAGGGGACGATGCGAGCGGGGGTAGAGAGGGAGACGGCGAGGAGGAGGAAAGGAGAGGGGAGAAGGAGGAGAGGAGAGGTGAAGGGGAGGAGGAGGAAAGCGAGGAGGGAATGAGAGGGGAGGAGGAGGGAGTGCTGTGTGCGCGTGTGCTGCCCGCGCCAGTGCTGCCGGGAGTGCCACCACCGCTAGCAGGACTGCCACCAGCATCAGTGCGCGCAGCAGCATCAGCAGGCCGGCCTTTCTCAGGCGTGTGAGCGAGTGTGCTGGCAGCGCCGCTGCTCATACCGCCCTCCTCACACAGCCCCTCCCGCCTCTCCCCCTCTCGCTTCTCCTCCCCACGCCCCTCCCCCACCACCAGTCGCTCCTCTTCTCCCATCCCCCCACCCCACAACCCACCCGCCTCCCCTTCCGCTTCCCCCTTCCCCTCCTCCTCCTCCCCCCCCTCTCCAAAGAAGAGCAGCACGCTCCGCAGCACAGCATCAGGCCCGCGCTCCTCAGGGGTGAACACGCGCGGGGAGGCCTCCCCAGACGCCACGTGGACCGCCAGTCCGCGCGTGCGGGGCACAGGCGCGCGGCGGGAGGGGTCCCACGTGGTGTTGAGGGGCAGCAGCGCGAGCGTGCACAGGCGGAAGGGGCGGGGGAGCGCGTGTAATGCGGTTACCAGCGCGCAGGCTACTGGGAGAGACGTGCCCGCGGGGAGAGGGGGTGGGAAGGGGGAGTTGTCCGCGCGGGAAAGGCTGTAGTAGAGGCTGCTGGGGGTGGAGGTGGGGAGCGGAGGAAGCAGAGAAGACGGAGGAGGGCGCGGTGGAGGGGAGGAGAGGTGCAGAGGCGTGCGGTGACAGTCTGGGGTGGCATCCAGGTGCAAGGGGTGCATGGGTACAATGCCTTGAGAAGGCGATGCTGCTTCCATGGGGCTCGATGGGTCACCATGTGGCCAGGCGCTGCCAACGGCACTTGCTGCTCCTGATGCCTCCTGCTCCTCCTGCTCCTGCTCCTGCTCCTGCTCCTGCTCCTGCTCCTGCTCCTGCTCCTGCTCCTGCTCCTGCTCCTGCTCCTGCTCCTGCTCCTGCTCCTGCTCCTGCTCCTGCTCCTGCTCCTGCTCCTGCTCCTGCTCCTGCTCCTGCTCCTGCTCCTGCTCCTGCTCCTGCTCCTGCTCCTGCTGCTGCTCCTGCGCGCATGCTCCTGTCGCCCCCGCCACTGCCTGCAGGGCTGGCGGCTCGCCTGCGCTTGCACCCCGACTGCCGCCCACTGCTGCTCCCTCCCTGGTAACCCTGCTGCTGCTGCTGCTGCTGCTGCTGCTGCTGCTGCTGCTGCTGCTGCTGCTGCTGCTGCTGCTGCTGCTGCTCTTGTGATTCCCCATGCCGCATGCGCTCTTGCTCCTGCCGCTCCTGCTCCTCCTCCCACGCGGCGTGAATGCTCTCTGTGTGCCCCGGGTCGTCGTCAAACGCGCCCACCACGTGCAGCTGCGGGGGACAGATGGACAGAGGGGCATGGCCGGACGGGCAGAGGAGGGCAGCACGGGGAGCGGAAATGAGAGGGATGGGCCGGCAGGGAGGAGAGGGATAGACGGGAGGCAGAGCGGAGGCATGGCAGAGCGGAGGCATGGCAGTGGATCGCAAATGAGCGAGGGTAAAACGGCACAGAGGAGGGAAGCTACTGAAAATGGCTTTGCACGCATGTCCGTCCGCACAGGGAAGCATGCGCCTGAGGCGCCATGCCATGCCTGCAGCGCCACACCCACACGCGCGTACTACCTGCAGTGGAGTAGGATCATGCGGGGCGAGGCGCAGCGAGGCAAGCATGGCGGCGAGCGCGCGCAGGGCGAGACACGTGCCGCATGCAGTGTGGCACACACATGCCATACCTGCTGCACCATGCCGTGCTTGCAGAAAGGGTAGACGCAAGCATACCTGCAGGGGAGTGGGATCGTGCGGGGCGAGGCGCAGCGAGGCGAGCATGGCGGCGAGCGCGCGCAGGGCGCAGAGCGACGCGTCCACGTGCGCGAGCGCCGTGCGCCCCGTGCGCGGATGGCGCAGCGCCACCGCCACGCACGTCGTCATCTCGTCCGTGCCTATCACGTCTACCAGGTCCACGTCAGCAGTTGCCACCTCAGCTTGCGCCACGTACACCAGCCGCTCCGGCCTTCCGTGCTGCGCCTCACCCCCGTCCGTTTTCCCGCGCTCCCCGCCCGCAGATCCGTCCGCCAGTTGCGCGTCCGCCCCCTCCCCCCGTCCGTGCGTGTGCGCACCCTCCCCCTCTCCGTGCCGATTTAGGCGTTCGAAAAAACCGCCCTCCGCCCCGTTCCATGCCGCTTCCTCCGCTGCTGCTGGCGCTACTGCTTCCCCCGCTGCGCCTGCCGCGCATTCTTCCCATGCGCGCGTGGTGGCAAGCGGCAGCGCGGCATTGCGCTCACCGTTACAGCCGTCGGCAGTGCTACCAGCAGCCCCGCTACCAGCAGCCCCGTTACCAGCAGCATATCCACCAGCTATCCCCGCTGCAGCATCACGCGCTTTAAGCACACTCGCACTCAAACTGCGCCATATCGCGCGGGGCAGCGCATCACTGCCAGCATCACACGTGTCAGCAGCGGACTCCGCGCCACGTGGCGCTCCGAGAGAGCGGCTCCCCACGCCGGCCAGCAGGTCCCGCTGCCGGCGCATCCACTCGCCCCCTCCGCCCTCCCGTCCTCGGCACACCGAAATCCCGCTACCAGCATCGGCGCCGCTAATGTCGCCGCCACACGCGGCGCTGATACCGCCGTCACGGCCAGTCGTGTTTCGCAGCTCCCCCATCCCCCCCGTTTCCGCGTCTCCTTGCGCGTCCGCGCATCGTAACTTCCCCCCCACGTGCGCCAACGTACAACTGTTGGATTCCTCTGCGCGCGCGCCAACCAGGCTGGGGGAACATGATTCCCCGGGGTTTGCGCCAAGGCGCGCGGAAGCAGTCGCGGGACACGGAAGGGTGGTTGGAGCGGGGAGAACTGACTGTGTTGCCGGCTGGCCGGCATCATGACCGTCACATAAACGATCGTCACTGCCGCATGCCGGCCGCGCGTTTTCCTCTCCTTCCTCGTTCTTCGCTCGGCATGGAGCAGGGTCAGGACCGGCTTCCGAGCCTACCCGGCTGGTACGGCGAAAGAACTCCTCCGAGCCGGCGACGAGGCTCGGGTGCGTGAGGAGGTATCGAAGCAACGCCGCGCCCTGCGCAATGCGGATATCGCGCGCACGGCGCAGGGAGGGTTGAAGGGGAAACGGCAAAAGGGGAAGAAGGGGGAGAAACGGGAATAGAAGGGAGGGGAGGGGGAAAGGAGTGGAGAGGATGAAGGACACAGGCGGACTGGCGGAGACGCGGCGAGAGTTCCGCGCTCACGGCAGCGAGCACGACGGAACCAACGGGACGAGCCGCGCAGCGGAGCGCGGCAAGACGGGAGCAGAGCGCGCGCAACAGACGCACGAGCGACAGGCGAGAAACGAGAGGAAGCACGTTCGCCATGACACCAGCTTAGACGCGCTACCGTAGGATCTAAGGGCACGTACCGCGAGATTGCGCGGAACCGGCTGGTTGTCTATAATCAGCATCGCGGCGCCTCGTGTGAGTCCGCGACCCCGCCGCGCTGGGTGCTATGTGCGCGACTCGCACGCACTACTATTGTAGGCTATAGACCTATGGCGTCACGACGGTGGTGCACAATTGCAGCCTAGAACGCAAGAACCTGATGCGTAGAATATCTGCTACCAAACCATCGAGCCCCTCAATTCGCTACAACTAAATCTAGTGACAGAACTAAACTCCATGCTACGATGCACCTCCTTGAAGGCGACCATAAAGGGGAAGCGCGAAGGCAGGAGGCATCAAAGCCAGTTACAGCACGGATGACCAGGCGTGGAAGGAAAGCAACCGTCAGCCACATTCAGGAGCACAGTGACATGGAAAAACTATCAACGCAGTGGTGGCGTGTCGCGCAAGTCCAACTGAATGCGGCTCCGTAAGGGTGTTGAGGAGATACCAACGCTGGCCATGGCGGTCGGTCGGGAGGCTGGCTGTCGGACCAGGCCTGGGCAGACAGTTTGCCACATAGAGGGCTCGGCAGAGCGGTGCAAAGAGGTGAGGTGAGACGGTGGTAAGGGCAAAGCGAGAGGAAAGGTGGTGGTGGAGGTGGGCTAGGTGGGCGACGAGAGCTGCGTCGGAGAACGGGGGGATTTGCCGTGTGATTGGTGGGCGACTACGCGTTGAGTCAATCTTGTTTCGGTTTCTCGCAGGTAGGACCGAACGAAGGGTACTGCTGCTGGCGGTACGCGGAAGGGAAGGGGCGATCTGGAAACAGCAGGGCGCATGCGACTGCTGCGATTCGCTCGTGGTGGTTGAACAGTGAACACCTCTGAACTTGTCGCGGAAGCCAGGGTGAACGACGCGACACAGGTCGCACGGAGTCGTGGAGAGGAAGCGGGGACGGTCGCACTTGCAGCTGGCGACAATGCGAACAGTACGCGATTTCGGTGCTGTGTTGGCAAACCTGGCTGGCGATACACCTGCGCCCTGACTTCGACTCTATTCGTCATTGTCACAGCGCGAGTGGGCCAGCCAATAGAAACCTAAACATTCGGTAGTAGAGGTGTGACGTTCGACCGACGTGCAAAGGACCACTCCAAACTCGTCGACACCTGATACAATGGTGAAGGGCAGCACAGTCACAGCTGGCGACCGAGGGTCCTGTCATTACTCACCTGTTTACACTGAATCAAGACCAGCCACGTATTCTAATACAAGAAATTCATATTATACATCGCGACAGGGGGACCCGCTCGGCCCTTTTCTTTTCGCTTTCACGCAGCAGCAGGTGCTGGGGACGGTGACTAGAGAGTTCAGGGACCTACTTTTCTTGAGCTATGCAGACGATACCTACATCCTGGGACCAGCGGCTAGGATTCTGGAGGCTTTTGGGGTGCTGCGAGAGAGGTTGGAGTGGGTGGGGCTGGAAGTGCAGGCGCACAAGTGCAGGTTTTGGGAGCGTGGAGGTGGGGATATGGAGCGGGCATTGCCTTTGGGGATGCAGCGGGAGGAGGAGGGTCTCACTGTGGTGGGCGTGCCTATTGGGGAGGAGGATTGGGAGGGGGCCCGATTACGGAAGCGGCTTCGCGAGTTGCAGGCGCCATTGCCGTGGCTCCCCCTGCTCGACCACCCCCAGATGGCCTCCAGGGGAGTGTTACGATATGAAGCTTTATGAGAAGGCATTCCTGTATGCTGCAGGAGCCGACTCTACCGAGTACGAAGACGAGGAGTCAGAAGAGTCGAAGCGACACAGCAACCGTCTGACTAAGACCGATGCAGGCAGAAGCATTTGAAGTGAAAAGAGCGGGAACAGGTTTGAAACTGATTCCCGCGCCGCACGGTTTGAATTTCGCTGCAATAAGGGAATGTACCCCTTAGAGTACATGGCTAGTCTAGGTCGTTTCGCATTCCTTTGTATTTCTATATAAACCCAATGTATGCATGCTATTATCAATCTCAGTCATTTACATTCACTCTGACCTGAGTTCACTACTTCCGCTGCGACACTACCCGCGATCAACCCTGAACGATCCTCTTCGCTAAGTCACATTTCAGATTGTAACATGGTATGAGAGCTGCTCAGGGATTCTTCGCAACGTCAACTCCGTAAAATTCGCCAAACCAAGATCTGGCGAGCGGCACACGTTCCAAGACCAAGATGGCCGGAGGATCCGGAGGCCAAACAAATCTAACGGCCGAAGGACAAACCAACCCGGCTGCGACAAATGAAGCGACAACTACGATCGGCACTGCCGCGCTCGAGCAGTTATTCGCTCGACTGTCAACAATGGAGAAAGAACTCCAAGAACTGCGCAAAGGCGATGCGGGAACCACTTCCCAACCAGTTCAACCTGGACAACCGGCTGCGAAAAGCCGCGATACCGCCGCGCATGGCTTCTCCCTCGACTCAGACAAATCTGCAACAACTGCCCCTCGTCCAAGCGACGAAACCATCAACTCTGCGCAAGCACGCTTTCTAAGTGTGTCAAAGATCAAGACTACTGCCGCGTTTGACGGCAAGGATTTTTATACATGGAGTTTTGAGCTGGAGCTCCTCCTACAGACAGCGCAGATCTACCACTACTTCGACGGTTCCTATCCTAAACCGGTGGAAGACACCGAAGACGCCCGCGCTCAATACTACAGTGAGTCGCTCATGGCGTATAGCGTCCTGCTGCGCAACATGTCGCCAGCAGAACAGCTCGGCATCCGCTCCTACAAAGAGAGCGCCGCTCCGGCTCTTGAAGCTTGGAAGCACCTCGTGGAGGTATATCAGCCGAAGGATTCCGTCACTGCAAGCCGTCTCCTGCAACAACTCATGGAGACGAAGTGTCAGAATCACTAGGCAAGAATGATGAACTAGCAGAAGTTTGGGTACAAATATGAAACCCTAGTTGGGGTTGTACCCCATATTGGCTACCCCACTACAGCCTACAAGCATACTACAGTTTAACACACCCCCATAGGCAAAGTGGGGGAGAACAAAGGGTCACAAGACCAGTCCAGCAAAGCAAAGCAACGCCCAGGGTGGATCACAACGTCACCACACTCCGAGCACAAGTAAAGGCCACAAGGCCAGTTCACATGCAGTGCTAGATATAGTACAAGACAAGCAACACAGTGATCAAAACCTAGCAAGCAAGCAACAAGATATATATAAAGTACAGTACAAAGAATGTCAAGCAGTGAGCAAGTGAGGAAACGTGGACACAAGGCCTAAAGAAGTACAGTGCCGCTGATGATCACTAGGCGGGAGCGCCTTGGTGAAGATATCAGCAGTGTTGGCCTTCGAGTCCACGTACACAAGCCGAAGCTGACCGCGCTGCTGAAGCTCTCGAGCAAGAAAGTAGCGAAGAGCAATGTGCTTCGTCCTGTGCTCCAGTCTGTGCTCCTGACACAAGGCAAGAGCCGCCTTGTTGTCACCGTACAGAACTGGAGGAGAACTAGGCCGCTCTCCCAAGTCAGTCAGCAGGTAGGTGAGCCAGCGTAACTCCTGTGCAGCCATGGCTGTGGCGTAGATCTCAGCCTCACAACTAGAGCCGAGAACAGAGGAAGAGCGGGTGGACCGCCACGAGACAGAACCTGAGCCAAGGCTGAAGGTGTAACCCTGTGACGACCGCTGCGTAGCCAGGTCGTCCACCCAAGAGGCGTCCGAGTGACCAGTGAGGACAACTCTGTCGCGTCCTCCAAGCACCAGCCCCATGCCTGATGTACTGCACAGGTAACGCAGCACCCTCTTAGCAGCCTCCCAGTGCTCTCGCCTGTGTCTCCCAGGTGCAACGTAACGAGCAAGGATGCTAAGAGGGTACGCGAGGTCAGGTCGCGTGCAAGTCATCAGGTACATGAGGCAGCCTACAAGCTCTGGGTACGGGCCACTCGGCTCTACGGACTCGTCCGAAGGTGGAGCTGAGAGCGAGTGGCTGGTAGCCAGAGGTGTGGCCTGTGGTGAGGAGAACTGGAAGCCGAAGCGCTGAAGGACATGCTGCACCATGTGTGACTGAGTCAGGGTGATGGTGCGGCGAGCTCTGTCCCGGGTGATCTGCAAGCCAAGGTAGCTACGCAGTTCACCCAGGTCAGTGCAGGTGTGTCTCTTCTGCAGCTCCGACTTCACACGAGCGAGTGCCTCAGTGTCAGCAGTAGCAAAGACCAAGTCGTCGACGTACACGAGGATGTAGAACGGCGGCAGCGACGTGTCTGTGCGCAGAAACAGCGACGGGTCAGCAGTAGACGGCGCGAACCCAAGAGCCGCAAGAGTAGTCCTCAGTGTGTCGTGCCACTCACGTGGCGCCTGGTGGAGACCGTAGACTGGCCGGCGGAGACTCCACTGGGTACCAGGGGGAAACGACCCAGTAAAGCCAGGTGGGCGGCGCAGCCAGATCTCCTCGTGCAGGCTGCCCTGCAGGAACGCTGTGCTGAAGTCAAGAGAGTGAAGCTCGTAGTCACGCTGAGCAGCAACGTGCAGCAGAACCCGAAGAGTGGTCATCTTCGGGGTGGGGGAGAAGGTCTGGAAGAAGTCGACCCCCTGACGCTGACTGAAGCCTCTAGCAACGTAACGAGCCTTGAAGACAGGCGGAGAACCTGGCGGCCGCTTCACCCTGAAAATCCACATGCCATCGACGATGTTCGCCCCAGGAGGGGGAACCTCGTCGACGTAGGTGCCTGTGGACTTCCAGGATGCCATCTCTGCGTCCATGGCTGTCTGCCACTGAGAGGAGTAGGGACCCGAGATCGCCTCTGCGTAGGTGCGCGGAGTGGGGATGTCTACTGCATCCGGGTCTCCCTCAGGGGCAAGCAACCAGGCCACGAGATGAGGTACAGCAGCCGCAAGTGAGTCAAAGTCCTCCTGCCTGTCCTCAAGGACGTCCGTGCCAAGAGCACACTCACCCCCGACGGACGGAGGACAGACTGACGCAGACTCTGACTCAGCGACAAGACTAGCAGCGTAGTCTAGACGACAGGCAGCAGCAAAGTCAACCAACTCAGCGACCAGAGCAGACGCAGCCGAGGACTCAAAGGTGGGGTCAGTGACAACAGTAGCAAGGAGACGCGTGACTGTAGGGTGCTCAGCGCGATACCGGTCAGACTCAGGGTCCGGAACGGCAGGCAAAGAGGACGCAGGAGGAGACGGTAGAGGGACACGCCGAGGAGCAGTAGAGGGACGCAGAGTCATGTAGTGAGTGCCTGGGACAGGCGGAGGACGCTCACGACGGACACGACTACCAGTGCGAGCAGGACGAACAGGCGACGCAGGACGAGACTCAGGCTCACGACGCTCTGTAAGACCTCCTGTGGGACCAGTATAAGGAGAGGGAGCAGGGAGAGGCGAGGCAGGCGGTAACTGTGACTGCGGCTGGACAGGCGGAGGACACTCTACGGAGGGAGGAGGACAAGGAGGAGGAGCCTGCCCAAGAACCTGCTGAAGGAGCGGTACGAAGTACGGTCGCGGCCGCGCAGCGTCTCTAGAAGCAGAAGGGACTCCAGCGGCCGGGTCCTCAGCACCAGTAGGAGCTCCAGCGTCCGGGTCCACAGCACCAGCAGCAGCTCCACCGGCCGGGTCCCCAGCTCCAGCAGCAGCTCCACCGTCCGACTCCTCAGTACCAGCAGCAGCTCCACCAGGTGGGTCCGCAGCACCAGCAGCAGCGCCACCCCCAGAGTCGGGAGCTCCAACTCCGCTAGCACCGCCAACGCCAGAGTCCCCAGCTCCAGCAGCTCCAGTCGCAGCGCTCCCAGAACAGCCAGTCCCGGCAGCTCCAGTACCCCCAGTACGAGCACCCCCAGGACGAGCAACTCCAGCACCCCCAGGCGGCAAACTCTCAGGCACAGTACCCTCAGCCCCAGCACCCGCAGTCCCAGCACTCCCAGGCCTCGCACCCGCAGGCTCAGCACCCCCAGGCGCAGCACCCCCAGGCTCCGTACTCTCAGGCACCGTACCCTCAGCTCCAGCACCCTCAGTCCCAGCACCTGCAGCCCCAGCACCCCCAGGCCCAGCACCCCCAGGCTCAGCACCCCCAGGCTCAGCACTCCCAGCAGCACCACCCGCAGCAGCACCTGAGTCACCTGTGACCTCGACAGGCTCAGCGACGGGAGGAGGGTCTACCTGAGAGACACCTGAAGGAGCAGGACCCTGAGGGGGAAGGGGGTCTACCGGAGGGGGACCAGGAGCAAGGAAAAGCGGCGGGGGAGGGAGGGGGGCAGTGCGGTAGGGGAAGAGACGGTAAAAGGGGACCGACTCGTCAAAGGTGACATCCTGAGAGGCGAAGACCCGGCGCGAGGTGGGGTGGTAAAACTGCCAGCCAGGCGCGTCAGGGACAAAGCCAAGGAAGACACAGGGAAGCGTGCGGGAGGAGAGCTTGTCCGCAGACGTATCGCGGACAAGGGCACGAGCACCCCACACCCGGAAGCGCGACGCATCGCCAACCTCCCCCGTCCAACGCAGTGTGGGCGAGGTCTCCGGCAAGGAGACACGGGGCCAGAGGTTGAGCTGATGCGCGGCGTACCAGACAGCAAACGGCCACAGAAAATGGGGAGCCGCCGCGTGGACCAAGGAGGTACGAGCGACCTCCATGACCAGGCCAATGCGACGCTCAGCAACCCCATTCTGCTGTGGGGAGTCTGGAAGCGTGAAGGTCTGCTCGATGCCCTCCGCCTGACAGAAGGTCCTCAAGAGGTCGGAGGAAAACTCACCACCTCTGTCAGAGTGCAGACGCAGGACAGGAAGATCCGTCCGGAAACGGCGGCGGAGCTGGAGACGAACCGTGCGGATCCAAGGGATCAGAACAGCAGGGACCTCACCCTTGGTGCGCAAGGGGAAGACCGTGGTGTAACGCGAGTAGTCGTCGACAACCAGCAAAAAATACCGCTCACCGCCCTGACCACGAACGCGGGCTGGGCCCCACACGTCCAGGTGGAGGGTCTCCAGAGGAGCCTCTGTCGGGGGGAACGAGGAGGAGTGAGGAGCGGCGCGCTGCCGCCCCTCGACGCAAGGAAGGCAAGGCGGCGCAGGCGAGGCAGGGAGGGGAGGGAGGGACCTGGGAAGACCGGACACAAGGAGGCGACGGTGCATGCCACGAAGGCGTGGCAAGGAGGGGTGACCCAGGCGGTGGTGCCAGAGAAGAGTCTGGTGCGACAGGGAACGACACTCACAGGCGTGGGCCACCAGACCTGATGCAGACACCTGACCGACAGCAGCTACCTGGGGAGACGCAGTGGTCAGTGTGTAGAGACTCGACCCCGGCCGACGGGTGAACGTAGCCAGGTGACGGCCGGTCCTGGAGCACGTGCAGATCGCCACACGCTGTCCGCCAGGGGTAAAGGTGTCAACCCACTGATCCTGGAGGACAGCGTTGCTCACCAGGTTCGTCGAGAACGAGGGGAGGTGGAAACCCGACAACGAGCCAGACGGAACCGCCGGACAAGGGAGGACAGTGGTGGACTGGGCAAGGACTGGGCCCCCAGAGGGGTCAGCCAAGGAGACTGGGACCGGTGCAGGAAGCGGTGTGAGCTCAGTACTGTCACGAAAGAAGCAACGGGAAGCACCTGAGTCAAGGGTGAAGGTGTGACAGGCCTCAGCCGGTGCGGTACCTGAGAGAGGAGTCTGTGTGGGTGCTGTACCTGAGAGAGCAGACTCGAAACCAGCCGGGACAGCACTGGGGGGAGCAAGTACAGGGGGCACCATACCAGAGAGAGCAGACTCACTAGTACCCAGGGCAGCAGGCTCTATACCTGGGTCAGGCGGCACACACAGGTAACAGTCTCCCTCGGCACTAACAGTCAATGCATACATGGCAGCAATAATAGCATCATAGTCAAGAGCAAAGACATCAACACCAGCCCTCATGAGCTCAGCCCAGCGGGGGCGCTCAACATCCGCACCCATCTCCTCACGCCAAGCGTCGTCAAGGCGGGAGAAGCAGCGGTACAGGGTGTGGAACCTCCCACACGTCTGTCCCTTGCGGTCACCTGTGCGAATGACATAAGAACAGCGGGCACTGGCCCCCGACGTCCCACGCTGAGCAAGCCACTCACGAAGCTGCTGGGTCGTCTGGGGACGCTGCTGCTGCTGGGAGCTCTGGCCAGAGCCAGTGCCTCCACTCCGACCTCCGCCGCCACCACTACCACCGCTCCGACCGCCACCGCCACCACCGCCACCACCGCCACCGCCACCGCCGCCGCCGCCACTACTGCCACTGCTCCCTCCGCCGCCCCCGTCTCCACCACCGACCCCACTCCCACCAGCGCTCCCGCCACCGCTCCCTCCAGCACCGCCTCCCCCCCCACCTCCCCCACCTCCTCCCCCACCAGCGCCACCACCACCACTTTTGCCCCCCTTGCCCTTGCCGGTGCGGCGCCTCCCACCAGGAGTAGAAGCAGCGCCAACAGACTCAGCACCAAGGAAGTCAACAGCAGCAGCAGCAGCGTAGGAGGGAGCGAGGGGAGAGGGAGAACACCCCTCAAAGATGGGGGTGCGAGGAGCGCCACGAGCAGCACCGACAGCTACAATGCTCTTTTCGGCCGCGAGCAGGTGCTCCTCTAGGAGGGCGACTGTGAGCTCAGTGGGACAGCGAGCAAGGAAGTGGTCTCGAACTGAGCGGAGGGTGTCAGGGAGACGGGTGACTATGAAGTGGAGTGTCCAGTACAGTGGAGGGGGGTTCTTAGCGCAGAACTCAGTGGGAAGGGCGGCACGCAGGCGAGCATCACTAGTGCGAAGGTGGGTGATAAGATCGGCGACTGTAGTAAAGGTGGACAGATCGGGGAACAGGTACGGCAGCATGAGGCGGCTAAGCTCGGCTGTGGCAGGCGAGGAGTAGCGAGCGACGACAGCGTCGTACAGGGCCTTAGCGGATTTGCAGTCGCCAAAATGCTCTAGCTCAGCTAACGGCAGGTGACTGCGAATGGCTAGGCGAGCAGCTGCGTCACGAGTCTGCCAGTGGGAACGAACACTAAGCTCAGCTGTGGCAGGAGGGGCAGGCGCAGCACCAGACGCGTAGTCATAGAGCGACACATGCTCCTTGCTATCGCTCAGGAGAAACAGCTGCAGGTCATCTAGCCAAGCGGTGAAACGCACAGGGCGGCCCTCAGCATCGAACGACAGCACGCGAATGGAAGCCATAGCGACAGTGTGACAGAGTAACGCAAGCTGCCGCAGCAGGGGAAGGCGACTGTGCACGGATAGAGAGCAGCGGGCGAGGCTGGCGCTACGGGCAGGCGGCGCTGCAAGCGGTCAGTGCGACGGGAGGGCGACGCTGCGAGCGGGCAGCGCGGCGGACGGGCCGGGAAGCGGGCAGCGCGGCGGGCAGGCGGCGCTGCAAGCGGGCAGCACGGCGGGCGGGCGACGCTGCGAGGCGGGCGGGCCGCAAAGCGGGCAGCGGGCGGGCGGGCGGGCTGCGAAGCGGGCAGCGGGGCGAGCGGGCTGCGATGCGAGCGGGCCGCGAAGTGGGCAGCGAGCGGGCGGGCGGGCTGCGAAGTGGGCGGGCCGCGAAGCGGGCAGCGGGGCGAGCGGGCTGCGAGGCGGGCGGGCCGCGAAGCGGGCAGCGAGCGGGCGGGCGGGCTGCGAAGTGGCGGGCCGCGAAGCGGGCAGCGAGCGAGCGGGCTGCGAAGCGGGCGGGCCGCGAAGCGGGCAGCGAGCGAGCGGGCTGCGAAGCGGGCGGGCCGCGAAGCGGGCAGCGAGCGGGCGAGCGGGCAGCGAGCGGGCGGGCGGGCTGCGAGCGGGCGGCTCGGCGAGGGGCGCGCGAGGGCGCTAGTGAGGGGCGCGCGAGGGCGCTAGTGAGGGGCGCGCGAGGGCGCTAGCAAGGGGCGCGCGAGGGCGCTAACAAAGGGGCGCGCGAGGGCGCTAACGAAGGGGCGCGCGAGGGCGCTAACGTGGGTGCGCGCGAGGGCGCTAACGAGGGTGCGCGCGAGGGCGCTAACGAGGGCGCACGAGGGCGCTACGAGGCTAGGGCACGGGGTAGCGTGGTAACCGCATGCGAGCGGTGGTGGGCCCTAAAAAAAACGATCGGTAGGTCCTAGGGACCTCCTGCTCTGAATACCATGTCAGAATCACTAGGCAAGAATGATGAACTAGCAGAAGTTTGGGTACAAATATGAAACCCTAGTTGGGGTTGTACCCCATATTGGCTACCCCACTACAGCCTACAAGCATACTACAGTTTAACACGAAGATGGGGCACGGGGAGAAAGCAAACAGTTACATCAACCGTTGTCGGAACATCCGTGATCAAATCATCAAGAACGGAAGTTCGATCTCGGAGGAGATATTCGTAAACATCATCCTCCAGGGACTTGGGCCCGAGTGGAAGCCCTGCAAGGCACTACTCCGACAACGAGGACAACTTTCCGAAGCCGCGCTATGCGCCGCACTGCTGACTGAACAGCAGGACATGGACTCGAGCAGAACGAGTTCCGCGCCGCGGCGAGAGCGACTCGCCTTCTACACAGACAACCGTGAAGAGCGACGACAACCAAGGCGCCATTACTGCAAAATTTGCAAAGCCTTCGGGCATTCAACGGATCGATGCAAATCCCGATCCAACTATCGGCACCCGAATCCCACTCACCACAACAACTGGGTCAGCCGACAAGACGCTCGCCACCCTCAGCCACAACAACCAGTCTCCCGTCCTCCTGCACAACAACAACAACCACAGCAGTCACAAGGACCTCAAGGAGGAGCTCCCAGGAACATAATCGCAAACATGGCGACGCGACGCCGCCGCACTGCTGAGGCAGACGAAGAAAACGAACTTCAGGGAACATTGCCGCAACCAGAAGAAGGGTGGAACAACCCCCTTACGGAAGACCACTACTACCTGCACGACGAAGACGAGCAAGATTGGAATCAGCCAATCACACTGCGGGAAAGCCCGCCTCACGACAATCAACTCTACGTACCTGTCGGATGGAAGGAAGATGAAGACCCGTCTTTCCACAGACGTTACAAGGCGACGCTGGTGACCCCGCGACTCGCGTTACTACTCCGCAACAACAACAACAAAGACAACTACAACACCTGGTACCTGGACAGCTGCTGCGGACAACACATGGTGGGGTCGACTCGCTACGTGTCAAACCTCAACCGAGCCCCCGCAACCTTCGTCACCGTTGCTAATAGCCACCAACTGCGCGCCAACTCCCAAGGCATTGTCGTTCTGCAAGCACGAGACAGCAACACTCACATCTCGTTCAACGACGTGCTCTACGTCCCAGACCTACGCTTTAATCTACTCTCGGCAGGACAACTTCGGGACTGCGGCGTCATACTCACCACCGACCTGGCCACACGCGACCTCATCCTCACGTACGCCCCTCCGGACACACCTCCCGAGTCGTTTAAATACCTCGGTCGAGCCCGCTCAATCAACGGGATCTACGTTCTGGACTTCGACGTACCAAGCTGTGAAGCCTCGTCGGATGAGCTCGTGGACCTGGTCCCCCTCGAATTCGCCTTCATGAACGAAGAATCGTGGCAACATCCTGACGGGCGACCGTGGATTCGCCGCAGCCCACATCCGCGCGAAATCAATCTGCACAACCCCGACATCAACGGGCTCTGCACCACCTGCCATACACCCGCTGCAAGCCGCACGGAACAAGTGGAAAGGGAATTTGTGGCGATCCAGGAGGCAGAAAGCGCCGAGGAAGAACCAACTGGCATGACCGAAGAAGAACTCGCGGTATCAACTTACCGCATCTTCGGAGAAGAAAACAAGCAGTTCGGTCACCTGCCTGATCCGCGGCCCACACCACGTTCCGAAACTCTCCGATTCATCCTCGAGGCCAACGCCACCACCATAGACGAGGAAGGACGCCCGCGCCCGTACACCCGCGAAGTTTATCGCCGCGAAATTGACCCAGCCTGGAAAGACCCTGATGAGGCAGAGGAGTTAAGCGTCAAAGAGGAACAAGATAAGGTCAGGGCAGAGAAGAAACAAAAACTGTACGAAGAGCGCATCGCAGCAGGCTGGAGCGAGGAGTCTGCACGACGAGGTGGATGGGGAGACGATGACTATCAACCCGGGGAAGGCGCCACATGGGCATCAGCCATCGGAGCATGGGGATCCAGCGGCAGTGGCATGGCTACCACAGGAGGCTGGGGTACGGAAGAAACAGCCGAAGCAGATCTCACCCAAGAAGAACTGGAGGAAGCAGAACAAGAGATGCGCACCGAACGCGGAGAGGAACCACCCCGCGTCACCATACCCCTCGGAAGACCACCACCAGCACGCTCACCCCCCCGGTCACCATGGCGCTGGGACAGTACCTGGACGGAGCTTGAGGAGGGGAACGTACCTCCAACACCTGCCCGAGACTCCCTTGGTCCAATCTCCCGTCCAGATCCATTCGCCCGCTTCATCGAAGGAACAACAACTCCGCTCACCATCATCCCCGACCGCGAATTTCTCGCCCTCTATCTTTCGACCGCACCTGCAGAAGGGGAAACAACTGCAAAAGAAGCAGAAGGAGCGGAAGACGAAACAGAACCAGGAGAAGAGGAGGAACCACCGCTCCAGATCCCACAAGAAACAGAGGAGGAAGCAGCAGAGCATCGCGCACGCTACATGCGCAGCAGCGGCATTCGCGCCGAAGACGACCTCTGGCACCAGCGACTCGGGCATCCCTCGCGCCAGACTCTCGCCAACTGCCTCCGCGCGAAGGTCTTCCCCCCAGGAGCACTTCTGCGCCCCGACGGCACCGAACCACACAACACCCCACACCCACTCACCTGCACCGTCTGCCCCACTGCAGCCCTCACTCACAGCGCATATCCTTCACTGGAGCCAAGCACCAACCGCTACAAGAAATTACAGAAGGTGTACAGCGACTTCATTGTACTCACCTGCGACGGACTCAACGGCGAAAAATACACGCTGACCTTCATCGACGCCTACTCACGCTACGTCTGGATTGCCAACGTCGACGCACGGTCCAAGGCTCCAGAAGTCTTCCGGATCTGGCTCGCACACGCACAGCGACAGTCAGGGAGGAAGCTGAAAATCTGGCAGAGTGATGGCGCCAAGGAGTTCCGCAGCCACGAGCTGGAAAGCGTCCTCACCGAAAAGGGGATCAAGCATGAGATCTCTCTCCCCTACGCTCATCAGCAGCAAGGAGTCGCCGAGAGGGTTAATCGCACCCTCATGACGAAAGTGCGCGCCCTCATGAATCAGTCCGGCCTCCCCAAGAAGTTTTGGCCTTACGCCATGAACCACGCGGTGCGCCTTTACAACCTCCTCTCCACCACGGCCAACAGAGACAACCTTTCCCCGCACATGAAGTGGACCGGCTCAAGGGGAGATCCCTCCATGTTGAGGGTTTGGGGGTGCATGGTGCAGTATCGGCCAACTTCAGCAAACATTGGCAAGTTTGCTCAGCGCGCACGCTGGGGAGTTCATCTGGGGCTCAGCAACGAGCACAAGGGGTGGCTCATTCTCGACGTCGACAGCAAGGAGATTGTTCCCGCGCGTGACATCCTCTTCTACGAAAGACTCACCTTGAAGCAGTGGGTCGAGGACGAGCAACGTAACCAAGCTCGCGGCTATGTCAACAGCGGCCGCAGCTTTGCATCTCCCGAGGATGAAGCAGCAGCAGCAGCCTTCGATCGCGACGACACCGACGATCATCCTGGCATTCCGCCTCGCCCTCGCTCGGACGATGACGACGACGACGACAGCGATGACGCACCTACCCCTGGACCAACCCGCCGCGAAACCGCCCCCAGCACTTCCTCACCTGGACACGACAGCGACGATGATGACGTGGTGGAGGTCCCCATCACTGACACTGCGGAAACCGCGAACGCCTCCGGCCTGCAACTTCTCGGGCTCCACACCTCCGTCTCCGCCATAGCTCGCGCTGTTGAACCAAAGAACCCGCGCCAAGCCCTCACCGGCCCGCACGCCAAAGAATGGCGTGCAGCTATGGACGCCGAACTGAAAGCGCTGGAGTCCCGTGACACCTGGGTTCTCGTCGATCGTGCAGCAGTGAAGGGGAGGAGGGTGCTCAGCGGGAAGTGGGTTTTTCGGCTCAAGACTAACGCTGACGGAACCATTGAGCGCTTCAAGGCACGATGGGTGGTCCGAGGCTACGACCAACGCCACGGCATCGACTTCGACCAAACTTTCGCTCCTGTCAGCCGTCACACCTCCGTCAGAATCCTACTCGCCATAGCGGCTGCTAAGCATCTACCACTGCGACAGATCGACGTGAAGAACGCATTCCTATATGCGTTGGTGGATGCAACCATTTTCGTGGAGCAACCACACACCTACGGAGAAGGAGATCCCAGGGTCTGCCAGTTGAAGAAATCCCTCTATGGGATTAAGCAGGCGCCTCGTCTCTGGCAGCAGCACCTGCACAAAATTCTACTGGAAATCGGCTTCAGGCAGCTGCCGCACGACCCGGGAATGTACCGCCTCCACTTCAACGGCGATTACATCCTCCTCACCGTCTACGTCGACGACCTGCTCTACACTGGCACCTGCAACACGCTTCTTACCCAGTTCGAAGAAAACTTGGCGAAGCGCGTGGACATTACCACCAACCACAACGTCACCCAGTTTCTGGGCCTGAACATCACCTACGCGCCAGAAGCAATTCATCTGTCAGCTTCAAAATACGCAGAGCAGCTGGGAGAACGGTTCAACATCTCACGCGCACCACTCTCAACTCCATACCGCAGCCCCAGCACCAACTACAAACCAGACAACAAACCTTTGTCCCCCGCGGGGCTCCAACTGTACCAGCAGCAGCTGGGCTGCCTGCTGTTCGCATCTGTCACATGCCGACCCGACCTTTCGTACATCGCCAGCCAACTGGCACAGTACTCCCGCAAACCAGTAGCCGAGAACCAGTTGGACCTGGAGCGCGCCCTGCAGTACTTCATCTCCACGCCTGACATTGGACTCTCCTACTCCACGCTGTCAACAACATCCTTCAACCTCAACGGCTACGTGGACGCTGACCATGCCGCTGACCCAGCAAATCGACGGTCCCGAACCGGCTTCGTTTTTCGCCTGGAGCCAACTGGCCCCATCTCCTGGAACTCGCAGAAGCAGGAACTGGTTGCCCTGTCATCGGCCGAAGCTGAATACATCGCCGCGACAGCAGCAGTTCGCGAAGGTCTGTACCTGCAGGAGCTGTTACAGGAGGCAAAAATTCCAACCTCGCCTACCTTTCGCCTGCACTGCGACAACCAGAGCGCGATCAAGATCGCGAACAAGCCCGGGTTCGTGAACCGCACGAAGCACATCGCACTGCGGTACTTCTTCGTCAAGGACGAAATCGACCAGGGTAAAGTTGACCTCGCTTACTGCCCAACCACTGAAATGGCAGCCGACTTCCTCACCAAGCGTCTGCCACGTCAGCAGTTCAAGCACTGCTCCGACCTCACCGGAGTGGTCAAGCGAGTCAGCACCCCTCGCGTCCAGGAATGAAGGGGAGTGTTACGATATGAAGCTTTATGAGAAGGCATTCCTGTATGCTGCAGGAGCCGACTCTACCGAGTACGAAGACGAGGAGTCAGAAGAGTCGAAGCGACACAGCAACCGTCTGACTAAGACCGATGCAGGCAGAAGCATTTGAAGTGAAAAGAGCGGGAACAGGTTTGAAACTGATTCCCGCGCCGCACGGTTTGAATTTCGCTGCAATAAGGGAATGTACCCCTTAGAGTACATGGCTAGTCTAGGTCGTTTCGCATTCCTTTGTATTTCTATATAAACCCAATGTATGCATGCTATTATCAATCTCAGTCATTTACATTCACTCTGACCTGAGTTCACTACTTCCGCTGCGACACTACCCGCGATCAACCCTGAACGATCCTCTTCGCTAAGTCACATTTCAGATTGTAACAGCCTCGCATCTCCTCGCTATTGCAGTTTCAGCACGGCCGATGTACCTGGCCCGGACTATGCCGCCGCGGCCGGAGGTGGTGGAGGCCTTTAGAGAGTGGGACAGCTGTCTGGAGGATTGCTTTGAGCAGCTTTTCCCCCCTGGCACTTGGGAGCAGGACCCCGGCAGGTCTAGGCGCGCACGCATGCAGCTGCATCTCCCTGTGCGCCTCGGAGGGTTTGGGATCCGGGCGGCGGCCTCTTTGAGTCCGCTCTCCTATGTTTGTGGGTGGGCGCAGGCCGCACGGGATATTGCACATTTGGGGGTGGCGGGCGAGGAGGCGATGTTCGCAGAGTACCTCACCACTTCGGCGGGGGCGGAGCTTCTTGACCCGTGGTTTGCCAAGGCCATTGAGCAGTTGCCCGCGACTATACGCCAGGAGCTGCCGGACTTACCCCTGTGTGTGGCGGCCCCTCCTCTTCGGCTTTTCCAGGCGCGGCAGCGGCAGTTGGTGTCAAACATTATACATGTTATATTTGTGTAGGCTATAGTGGGGTAGCCTATAGGGGGTCACAACATTAGGGTTTCATATTTGTACTCACAATCCTTTCTAGTTCATCATTCCAGTCCGTTATCACTGACATGGTTTCAGAGCAGGTCCGTTGCTAGGACTGTTCTTAGGGCCCACCTACCTACCTACCTACCTACCTACTGTGCGCCTCGTGCGCCTGCGCGTCCTAGAGCGCTCCTTACCTACCTACCACGCGCACGCAGCTCGCTAGCCGCCCGCGCGTGGCTTTCCTTTTTTTTTTTACCGCGCACGCCGTGCTAGCCGCTCGCGCGCGGCCGTTTTCACGCGTGCGCCCCGCCAGCTGCCCGCGCGCGCTTTATTTTCTTCGCGCGCGGCCCGTCGCGCTGCCTCCCCGCTGCCCGCGCGCCTTTGCGCTGCTGCCCGTGCGCCTCGTGGCCTCGCGCACTGCCCGCCGCTGCCCTGTGCGCCTCGCTGACGCACCCGCTGCGCCCCGCAGCCGCCCGTCGCCTGCTCGCGCACGCCCCGCAGGCCCGCAGCTCGCCGTCGCAGAGGCCGCACGCCCGCTGCCCGCAGCCGCCCGTGCGCCGCTGCCACTGCCGCACGTGCGCATACGCAGCTGCCGCCCGTGCGCTGCTTCCGCTGCTGCTTGCGCACCGCCGCCTCCCGCCGTCGCCGCACGAGCGCCACCACCGCTCCTACGCTGCCGCTGCCCGTGCGCCGCCGCTGCCCGTGCGCCGCTGCCGCTCGTGCGCCGCTGCTGCTGCCGCCCGTGCACATACGCCGCTGCTGCCCGAGTGCTGCTGCCGCTGCTACTTGTGCACCGCTCGCAGCCACTGCCGCCCGTACGCTTCTGTAGCCGCCGCCCGCGAGGCGCTCGCTCCCACTGTTTTTTCTACCTACCGCGCACACTGCTGCCACTGCAACTGCCACCAGTGCGCCGTTGCAGCTCCTGCTGCCACGCTCCCTACTACTGCCGCTCGTGTGCCACTACGGACAGTCGACCCCGCCCGCGCCTTACCTAGCGGCCCCGCCGGCCCCGTTGACCCTACGCACACCTTTCCAGCGGCCTAGTTCCTACTCCTACTACTGTCACTATGGCTAGTCCTCCCGTTCTAGTTTTCGATGCCGAGGGCCGTCCGGTGAAGTTCGAAACCTGGCTAGATGACCTGCACCTGTTCCTACAGCTCACTGCCAAGGAAGACATCTCGCTGTACGACCACGCCCTAGGCCATGCTACTGCCCCTGACACGTCTGCTGACAGCACTCTACGCTCTCAGTGGCAGACTCGTGATGCGCACGCTCGCTTCGCTATTCGCAACTCCCTGCCGCTAGACGAGCGCGAGCACTTCGGCCAGTGCAAGACTGCTAAGGACCTCTACACCGCTGTAGTTGCCCGTTACTCCTCACCCGCTTCTGCTACGCTAGGCCGCCTCACTCTCCCCTACCTGTTCCCCGACCTAGCCTCCTTTCACACTGTCGCAGACCTCATCACCCACCTTAAGACTAGTGAGGCCCGCTTTCGCGCTGCTATGCCTGCCGAGTTTCTCACTAGCAACCCCCCCCCGCTCTGGATCACTCTCTACCACATCGTCACCCGCCTCCCTGACTCTCTGCGCGCAGTCAGGGACCACTTCCTCTCTCGCTCCCCCACTGAGCTCACTGTTGCCCTCCTCGAGAAGGAACTGCTTGCAGCTGAGGCGAGCATCGTCGCTGTAGGCACCTCTCGTGGCGACCCCCGCACCCCGTTCTTCGAGGGGTGTTCCCCTTCCCCCCTCCTCCCCTCTGTCGCCTCTGCTGCTGCTGTCGACCTCCTTGGTGCTGAGAAGGTCGGGACCGCGTCTGCTTCGAGCGGGCGCCGCAGGAGCAAGGGAGGCAGGGGTGGGGGTGGTGGCGGAGGAGGTGGGGGTGGAGGCGGTGGGAGTGGAGGCGCGACTGGGGAGGCTAGTGGCGGCAGTGGGGGAAAAGACAGCAGCGGCGGGAGCGGTGGCAGGGGCGGAGGCGGCAGCGGAGGTGGAGGTGGTCGTGGCGGCGGCAGGGGTGGAGGTGGCCGAGGCGGTGGTGGTGGCGGTGGTGGTCGTGGAGGCACTGGCGGAGGCCAGAGTCAGCAGCCCGCCCCGACGCTTCAGGCCGCCCGTGAGTGGTATGCGCAGCGTAGCTCTACCTGCACGTACGTCATTCGCACAGGTGACCGCAGCGGCCAGCAGTGTGGGAGGCCGCACCCCACGCAGCGCTGCTTCGCGCGCCTTAACGACGCGTGGCGCACCCAGTTTCCTGATGCCACTGAGCTGCCGCGCTGGGCTGATCTGGAAAAGAGGGGTGTCGATATTTGGGCTCTAGACTTTGATGCTATTCTCACTGCCATGTATGCCATGTCTATTAGTGGAGAGGGTGCTCAGTACTTGCGTGTTCCGCCCGACCCGGGCATTCAGGCCAGTCCGGCTGCCGCTCTAGGTGCTAGTGCGTCCGCTCCCGCAGGTCCTGGTGAGGCTGCTGCCCTAGGTGCTAGTGCGTCCGTGCCCCCTGGTACTGAGTCGACTGCAGCACTGCACACCTTCACACTGGACTCAGGTGCCTCTCGCTCTTTCTTTCGTGACCGCACTATCCTTGAGCCACTCGCTCGGCCAGTTGCTGTCTCCCTTGCTGACCCCTCTGGGGGTCCGGTCATTGCGACCTCCTCCACTGTTCTTCCTTGTCCTGCGGTCCCGTCCGGCACACTTTCAGGTCTCTACCTCCCCTCGTTCTCTACGAACTTGGTGGCGGGTTGTGCGCTCCAGGACTCGGGTGTTCACCAGTTCACTCCTGCCTACGAGCGCGTGACACACTGCACGTGTGCTCGGACGGGTCGCCACCTGGCTACTTTCACTCGAGAGCCGGGGTTGGACCTGTACACACTGACCACTGAGTCCCCTCAGGTAGCTGCGTCTGCGTCAGGTCAGCTGTCCGCCCCCTGCTCGTGTCGCTCTCTGGCGCATGAGACTGTCCTTTGGCACCACCGCCTTGGTCACCCGTCTGTGCAGCGCCTTCGGGCCATGCACAAACGGGACCTTGTTGCTGGTCTTCCCAGGGTGCTCCCTCCCCTTCCCGACTCGCCTGCTCCTCCCTGTATTCCCTGTGTCGAGGGGCGGCAACGCGCCGCTCCTCACTCCTCCTCCTTTCCCCCGACGACTGCTCCCTTGCAGACGTTCTACTTGGACGTGTGGGGCCCAGCCCGCGTCCGTGGACAGGGTCAGGAGCGGTACTTCCTGCTAGTTGTTGACGACTTCTCGCGCTACACCACGGTCTTCCCCTTGCGAGCCAAGGGTGACGTCCCTGATGTCTTGATCCCTTGGATCCGCAGATCTCGTCTCCAGCTCACCAGGCGTTTCCGCTCCGACTTTCCTGTCCTGCGTCTGCACTCTGACAGAGGTGGGGAGTTTTCCTCTGGCCTCCTGGAGGCCTTCTGTCAGCAGGAGGGCATTGAGCAGTCGTTCACGCTTCCGGACTCTCCACAGCAGAATGGGGTTGCTGAGCGCCGCATTGGTCTAGTCATGGAGGTCGCTCGTACCTCCTTGAGTCATGCGGCTGCCTCCCATTTTCTGTGGCCGTTTGCGGTCCGATACGCTGCGCATCAGCTCAACCTCTGGCCCCGTGTCTCCTTGCCTGAGACTTCTCCGACACTGCGTTGGACGGGAGAGGCTGGCGATGCGTCGCGTTTTCGGGTCTGGGGATCCCGAGCTTTTGTCCGCGACACGTCCGCGGACAAGCTCTCCCGTCGCGCTGTCCCCTGCGTCTTCCTTGGCTTTGTCCCGGACGCCCCTGGTTGGCAGTTCTACCACCCCACCTCGCGTCGTGTCCTGGCCTCTCAGGACGTCACTTTTGACGAGTCCGTCCCCTACTACCGCCTCTTCCCCTACCGCACTGCCCCACTCCCCCCCCCCGCCTCTCTTCCTCGCTCCAGGTGCTGAGGTACCAGACCCCCTCCCCCCTCAGGGTGCCGCTCCCTCAGGTGTGTCCCAGGTAGACCCGGGTGAGCCTGTCGAGGTAGCTGTTGACTCTCGTCCTGCGTCTGGGGGTGCTGAGCCTGGGGGTGCTGCGTCTGGGGGTGCTGAGCCTGGGAGTGCTGAGTCTGGGGGTGCGGAGCCTGGGGGTGTTGAGCCTGGAGGTGCGGAGCCTGGAGGTGCGGAGCCTGGAGGTGCTGAGTCTGGGGGTACTGAGTCTGGGGGTGCTGAGACTGAGCGTGCTACACCTGGAGGAGCCCTCTCCTCCCAGCAGCTGTAGGAGAGGTACCTCGAGTACTGCCGCCTCCGGAGAGGTACTACTGGAGCTCGTCCCGGTACTTCCCCTCCTACCCAGGAGCTCCCCCCCATTCAGCAGATCCGAGAGTGGTACACACGGCGCTGCAGTCTTCGGAGTGGTGCTCCGGGTACTGCGGACCCTGGGGGTGGCACTACTGCTGGTGCTGAGGACCCGGGCGTTGGAGCTGCTGCTGGTGCTGAGGACTTGGGCGTTGGAGCTGCTCCTGGTGCTGAGGACCCGGGCGCTGGAGCTGCTGCTGGTACTGAGGACCCGGGCGGTGGAGCTGCTGCTGGTGCTGAGGACTCGGACGTTGGAGCTACTGCTGGAGCTGAGGACCCGAGCGGTGGTGCTGCTGCTGGTGCTGAGGACCCGGCCGGTGGAGCTGCTGCTGGTGCTGAGGACCCGGACGTTGGAGCTGCTGCTGGTGCTGCGGACCCTGCCGCTGGTGTCTCTGCTGGTTCTGGAGATGCTGCGCGGCCGCGACCGTACTTCGTCCCACTTCTTCAGCAGGTTCTTGGTCAGGCTCCTCCTCCTTGTCCTCCTCCCTCCGTAGAGTGTCCTCCGCCTGTCCAGCCGCAGTCACAGTTACCGCCTGACTCGCCTCTCCCTGCTCCCTCTCCTTACGCTGGTCCCACAGGAGGTCTTACAGAGCGTCGTGAGCCTGAGTCTCGTCCTGCGTCGCCTGTTCGTACTGCGTGCACTGGTCGTCGTGTCCCACGCCAGCGTCCTCCTCCTGTCCCTGGCACTCATTACATGACTCTGCGTCGCTCTACTGCTCCTCAGCGTGTCCCTCTGCCGTCTCCTCCTGCGTCCTCTCTACCTACTCTTCCTGACCCGGAGTCTAACTCCCGTCGTGCTGCCAGTCCCACTGTCACCCGTCTCCTCGCTACTGTTGTCACTGACCCTACCTTTGAGTCCTCTGCTGCGTCTGCTCTGGTCGCTGAGTTGATAGACTTTGCTGCCCGGTGTCGTCTAGACTACGCCACTAGCCTTGTTGCTGAGTCTGAGTCTGAGTCTGTCTGTCCTCCGTCCGTCGGGGGTGAGTGTGCTCTTGGCACGGACGTCCTTGAGGACAGACAGGAGGAGTTCCAGTGCTTTGCTGCTGCTTTACCCCACCTCGTGTCCATGCTAGTTGCCCCTGAGGGAGACCCGGATGCACCAGACATCCCGACCCCGCGCACTTACGCTGAGGCGATGGCGGGTCCCTACTCCTCTCAGTGGCAGACAGCCATGGACGCAGAGATGGCTTCCTGGAAGTCCACACGCACCTACGTCGACGAGGTTCCCCCACATGGGGCGAACATCGTCAGTGGCATGTGGATTTTCAGGGTGAAGCAGCCGCCGGGTTCTCCTCCTGTCTTCAAGGCGCGCTACGTGGCTCGAGGCTTCAGTCAGCGAGAGGGAGTAGACTTCTTCCAGACCTTCTCCCCCACCCCGAAGATGACCACTCTTCGGGTGCTGCTGCACATAGCCGCTCAGCGCGACTACGAGCTTCACTCACTTGACTTCAGCACTGCTTTCTTGCAGGGCAGCCTGCACGAGGAGATCTGGCTGCGCCGCCCACCTGGCTTCACTGGGTCGGTTCCTCCTGGTACCTAGTGGAGGCTCCAGCGGCCGGTCTACGGTCTCCGCCAGGCACCGCGTGAGTGGCACGACACACTGAGGACGACACTTGCGGCTCTTGGGTTCGCTCCCTCTACTGCTGACCCGTCACTGTTTCTACGCACAGACACCTCGCTGCCGCCGTTCTACATCCTCGTGTACGTCGACGACTTGGTCTTTGCAGTGCTGACACCGCGGCACTCGCCCACGTGAAGTCGGAGCTGCAGAGGAGACACACGTGCACAGACCTGGGTGAACTGACAAGCTATCTTGGCTTGCGGATCACCCGGGACAGAGCACGGCGCACCATCACCTTGACTCAGTCACACATGGTGCAGCAGATCCTTCAGCGCTTCCGCTTCACGTACTCCTCGCCCCAGTCCACTCCTCTGCCTACCGGTCACTCGCTCTCAGCTCTGCCTTCGGATGAGTCCGTAGAGCCGAGTGGCCCGTATCCAGAGCTTGTGGGCTGCCTCATGTACCTGATGACCTGCATTCGACCTGACCTTGCATACCCTCTTAGCATCCTTGCACGCTATGTCGCTCCTGGCCGTCACAGGAAGGAGCACATGGATGCCGCTAAGAGGGTGTTGCGCTACTTGTGCAGTACGTCGGGCATGGGGCTTGTGCTTGGAGGGCGAGACCGAGTTGTACTTACTGGACACTCAGACGCTTCTTGGGCGGACGACCAGGCTACTCAGCGGTCGTCTCAGGGTTACACCTTCAGCCTTGGCTCTGGCTCAGTTTCTTGGCGTTCTACACGCTCTTCTTCTGTTCTCAGCTCCAGTTGTGAGGCTGAGATCTACGCCACAGCCATGGCTGCCCAGGAGCTACGCTGGCTGACCTACCTGCTGACCGACTTGGGAGAGCGGCCTTGTTCTCCTCCAGTGCTGTACGTCGACAACCAGGCTGCCATTGCCTTGTGTGAGGAGCACAGACTGGAGCACAGAACGAAGCACATCGCCCTGCAGTACTTCCTTGCTCGAGAGCTGCAGCAGCGTGGTCAGCTTTGTCTGCGTTATGTGGCCACTGAGGCCAACCTTGCTGATGTGTTCACCAAGGCGCTTCCGCCTTGTGACCATCAGCGTTTCTGTACTCTTCTAGGCCTTGTGCCTGCTGGTCCTCACTTGCTTACCTCTTGACTCTCCTTGTACTGTGATCTTTATATATATACCTGCATATTTACACTTGCTAGGTTGCTATCACTGTATCTCTTGTTATATTATCAACCTGCATGTGAACTGGTCTTGTGACCACTTGCTTGTGCTCGGAATTTGTGTGGTATCCTTGAGATCCACCCTGAGCTTGTTTTGCTTTGCTTTGACTGGTCTTGTGACCCTTTGCTCTCCCCCACTTTGCCTATGGGGGTGTGTCAAACATTATACATGTTGTATTTGTGTAGGCTATAGTGGGGTAGCCTATAGGGGGTCACAACATTAGGGTTTCATATTTGTACTCACAATCCTTTCTAGTCCATCATTCCATTCCGTTATCACTGACAGTTGGCTGTTGAGGAGCTCCAGGCACTCCGCCGCTTGGCTCGTGACGATGCCACCCTGGCCCGTTTCACATCCCTTCAGGGCCCGGGGGCTGGTGCATGGGTTTCGGCAGTTCCGGCTCATTCAGATCTCACATTCACTGCAGCGGAGTGGGGCATTGCTGCTGCTATACGGCTTGGTCTCCCAATCCAGCAGCTGCAAGTGGCGGGGAGGTGTGTTTGTGGCACAGCGTATGATGACCCAGCAGACCCGCATCATGCGCTGAGATGCAAGCACCAACACGGTCCATCTCGGGTGCATGATGAGGTGAAGTTTGCGGTGGCAAAGATCGCTAAGGCGTCAGGGGGGGTGGTGACGATGGAGGATAGTGCGGTGCTGCCGGGGAAGCGGGTTGACGTAGCGGTGCGACGACCAATGGCTGGGGAGGCTCATGCTTTAGAGATTAGTGTCGCGGACCCGCTATCACTGTCTCCATCTCTGCTAGGGCAGTGCGGGCGGTCTATAGGCGTGGCGGCAAAGGAGTGGGAGCGTCGCAAAACGGGGGATTACGCGCCTCTTCTTGCACGGAACCGAGGCGTGCAGTTCACCCCTTTGATAGTGGAGACGTGGGGGTGTCTCGGCGGTCGCTTCCGGCGGTGGCTTCGACAGCAGGGGGACGCGCACGTGGGGCTAGCTGTGTCACGGGGGGCTTGTCGGGAGGATGACACTTCGTTCTCGGCTTACCTTTTGGGGTCTCTGAAGGCGCTCATCGGAGTGGCGTTACAACGGGCGCAAGCTCGTGTCATCCTGCTTCGGGCGGCGTCTTCCATGGGGGGGTTGAATGTGGACTTGGTGGATCGGGAGAGGGACGATGTCGAGGTGGAGGGCGGGCCTCTTTGGGTGGAGGCCCCCTACATGGTGGATGTGCAGATGTGACTTGGGGGGGGAGGGGGGGGGGGGGCGAGGGGGAATGGGGTGCGAGATGGGACGTCTGGTAGGGGATCCTGGTTGGGTTTTTTCTTTATGGAGTATTTTTATGGGGCTTTTTATGGGTGTTGCGTTTGAGTTGTTTCTGGTGTCTTTCTTTCCCTTTTCCTTCTCCCTCTTTCTCTTTTCCTCTTTCAAAAAGCGTGATGCCAGTTTCTGGGACTTCATCAGGTCAAGTTTCGATTTCGTCACAAAAAAAAAAAAAAGAGATATGATATACCATGAAACTAAAGTCTGACATAAAGTTTACATAAGAAGAAGACAATAGTGATCAATTTTTAGAAAACACCAATTGTCTCATATCAGTGATCCCAAATCGTGTTACCTCATTATCTCTCTTTCAGTATATACCGTAGGTGCTAAGGAGATAGATGTGTGTCCTACATCGGAGCTGTCCCATAGCGAGCATACACCCCGATTTCGCTTGTCATGCATGCCATGTGGTTCGCTGATGCGCATGCGACCCTTGTGCGTGCGGCAGACCTGACTGACACGGACATTCTGTCCTGGCATGGCAACCGTCCTGGCAACCGAGGTGTGCTATAGTCCAGCAGCACTTGCCACTCTCGCCCTCATTTCCTCAGCTTTTTTGCAGAAGCAGAGCAAGATTCCCTCAGCTACGAATTATTCTCGTTAAAGCAGTCTTTTAATCAGCGTTCATGGGGCCTAAGAAGGGCAAGCGTGGCAGAGGCGCAGGCGGAGGCGCTGGCGGAGGTCGCGGGGAAGGGCAAGCTGGCGCGCCGAGGTAACTGCTCGTTCGCAGCCCTTATCATTTTACTCCGTCGTCGCCTATTCCAGCTCGCTATCTTTCCTCGAATTAAACTTGTCTTTCAGAGAAATCTCTGTCGCGGACTCTGTCTTGGTTTTATCTCTGACGCGCAGTGTCTTGCGCACTTGTTTAAGAACCACGAACGAAATACTGAGATGCGTGCCATTGTCGCTTCGCACTCGCCTCTCTTCGCTGCGCCGTCGTTGTCATGGCACGCTCTGTCTCGTCCGTCTGTACATGAAATACGAATCAAATATTTACATTCACGTCATTGTGGGTCCTGCCGGTATCTTTCTCCCGTTGCACCCGCCTCCCTGCGTGCAGCGCAGCACCACCGGCGTCAGCAGCGCCGTCTCAGCCGCCCGCGGCGGGCAGAGGCGCCCCGTCCCCCGCAGGAGGAGGTTGGGGGGGAAGGGGTGCGCCCGGAGGGGGAAGGGGCGCGCCGCCAGGGGGAAGGGGTGGGCCCGCTCCCGCAGGAGCACCAGGGGGAGCGGGGGGCCCTGGCGCAGGCGGAGGGCGCGGACGCGGAGGCCGCGGGCGGGGAGGACGCGGAGAGCAGGCGCAAGGAGCGGGGGGGGTTGGGGGCATCACCGCAGGCATGGCGCAGATGGGTGTGTCTGCGCCACCCGCGGATTTCCCCGCCCTCGCACCTGCGCGCGCCCCCGCTCCTACCCCCGCGACCGCTGCCCCTACTCCCGCCCCTGTGCCCGCTGCTGCTCCGCGCGCGCCGGCACCTGCTGCTCCGGCGCCTGCCCCCGTACCGGCCGCGCCCGCCCCCGTAGCAGTTGCGCCGGCGGCAGCAGCGGCGGGCGCGCCAGCGGCGGGCGTGGCGGTGACTATGGCGAGCCCCGCGGGCGTGTCGAGCAGGGCGCTGGTGGCGGCGGCGCGCCCCGACTTCGGCAAGCTGGGGCGCCCCGTGATGCTGCTGGCCAACCACTTCAAGATTGACCTCCAGGTGCGCGCGCGCAGGGGGGAGCGGGGGGGGAGAGAGGGGGGAGGGGGAGAGGGGGGGATTGGGTGAGGGGAGAGGTGGGAGGTTGGGGTGGCCCGTGATGCTGCTGGCGAACCACTTCAAGATCGACTTCCAGGTGCGCGCAGGGGGGCGGGGAGGGAGAGAAGGGGGGCGAGGGGGGAAGAAGAGGGGCGAGGGGGGAGGGGCAGCGAGTAGGAGAGCGTGTAGGTAACGGGGATGTAATGAAGGGGAGCGAATTGCGCTTGACCGACGTTCTCCGCGCCCCACCTCACATCCTTCCCTGCATGCCTCTCGTCCTGTCTTGCTCTCCTCTCTTTCCCTATCCCTCGCATCCGTTGCTCGAATTTCTGCCGTGATTCTGCTGATATGGCCCCTTGCGATGTCATTCTGGAACGTTGCCCCTTCCGATGTCATTCTGGAACGTTGTTAACTGGCAAACACTTGTTGCGTTTCCAACCTCTCCCTTGCACGACTTGCTGGTCTATCACTGCCATGTGGACTTCTCCCCCGCGCTCACCTCCAAGGCCGCCTGTTGATGCACTTCAAACCTGCTGCTCCAAACGCCCCTGCCTTCCTGCCACACCCCCCACACACACCTCTCCCTCCCAGGACCTGGTCATCTACCACTACGATGTTGAATTCTCCCCCGCGTTGGCCTCCAAGGGCGTCATGCGCGCAGCCATCCGCCAGCTGGCCCACACCTACAGCGCGCACCTCGTCTCCCCCGCGCCTGGCGGCGCCCCCAGCGCCCCCGTGCGCCCCGTCTTCGACGGCATGAAGAACATTTTCACTGCCCGGCCTCTGCCCTTCGACAGCCAGGAGTTTCGCGTCGTGCTGCCCGAAAAAGACGAAGGGGCAGGCGGGGGGAGAGGTGGTGGAGGTGGGGGAAGGGGAGGGAGCAGCAGTGGTGGTGGGCGCGGGGGCGGGAGGGGCGGGCGCGGAGGGGGGGAGCGGAGGGAGCGGGCGGTGAAGGTGACTGTGAAGCTGGCCCAGCAGTACCCCATGTCGTCCATGGCCTCGTTTCTTCAGGGGAGACAGGCCGACATTCCGCAAGTGCTGCTGCAGGTGAGTGTTGAACTGAATGAGAACACACATGAGGGTGACGGTGACAGTGAAGCTGGCCCAGCAGCACCCCATGTCGTCCATGGCTTCCTTTCTTCGAGGGCGACAGGCTGACATTCCGCAAGTGCTGCTGCAGGTGCGTTGCTGCTCCCACCCATTTGCCTCAACTCTTCCTTCCCCGTCACCTTGTCCCCTATCACCTTTGCCTCCCTCTACTCTGCATTGCTCGGCTTCACCCCACTGGGCCTCCCACCGCGCTCGCCTCACCTGCGCTGCTTGCCGGCCCTGCCCTTCTCTCCGCTCCCCTTCCCCTTCCCCTTCCCCAGGCACTCGACGTGGCCCTGAGGGAGCGCCTGCTAATGAACCTCACCCCGGTGGGCCGTTCACTCTACTCCGCCTCACTTGGCTCCACGCCCCTGGGCGGCGGGGTGGCGGCGTACCGCGGCTTCTTCCAGTCAGTGCGCTTCTCCCCATCCCCACTTCCCTTCCCACCTGCCACCCCGCTCCTCCCTGTCAGGCACTTGATGTGGCCCTGAGGGAGCGTCTGCTAACGAACCTCACCCCGGTGGGCCGCTCACTCTACTCCGCCTCGCTCGGCTCCGCCCCACTAGGCTCACGTGCGCTGCTGGCCTACGTTGCCTTTTTCTCCCCTGTCCCACCACCCAGGCACTCGACGTGGCATTGAGGGAGCGCCTGCTCACCAGCCTCACCCCGGTGGGCCGCTCACTTTACTCTGTATCCCTCGGCTCCACCCCACTGGGCGGCGGAGTAGCAGCCTACCGCGGCTTCTTCCAGTCCGTGCGCTTCTCCCAGCAGGGCCTGGCGCTCAACGTTGACATGGCCGCCACCGCTTTCCACCATGACATGCCGCTCCTCACCTTCGCCGCCGACTTTCTCGGTCGCGGGGGCGGTGGGGGAGGGGGCGGGAGAGGCGGCGGGAGGGGTGGGTATGGGGGGAGGGGAGGCCGGGGGCCGGGAGGGGGAGGGGGCGGGGGAGGGGGAGGGGGGTTTGCACCGAATGCGTCGCTGAGTGATGGGGAGCGCGTGAAGCTGAAGCGCGCGCTGCATGGGATTAAAGTGGGGGTGACTCACCGCGACACACCCCGCCGGTCAGTGCCCGCTTGCTACTCCTACAGTCCTACCCTCTTGTTCTGGCCCTGTTCCTCACCACCAGGACTGGAGAGGATCTTCTTCTTCCCTGACCCCTCTCCCTCTCCCTTTCCCTCTCTTCTTGCCGTCATCCCCCCCCTTCCCCCTCTCCCCCAACCCTTTCCGGTCATATACACTTTCGCTACCGTGTATCTCGTTACCGTCCCTCTGTCCCTCCGCTCGTCTGCCCCTCCGCAGCCATCCACCCACCCCTCCATCTTCTCTTCTATCCCCCTCTTCCCATGCAGCTACAGCATCCAGGGCCTGACGCGCTCACCTTCGCCATTGAAGGGCAGGGCGAGACGTCCCTCGTGGCCTACTTCTGCTTTCACCCCTCCACTTCTCCATCCCTCCCCATCCCCCCTCCCCCCCCCCCCGGTGCAGCTACCGCATCCAGTGCCTCACGCGTGAGCCAGCACACGCGCTCACCTTCACCATTGAAAGGCAGGGGGAAACACCTCTCGTATCCTACTTCCGCTCCGCCTACGCCTACACCATCCGCTACCCCAACCTGCCGTGCGTCATGCCCTCCCTCCCCTCCCCTCCCTCCATGCAGCTACCGCATCCAGGGCCTGACACGTGAGCCAGCGCATGCCCTCACCTTCACCATCGAAGGCCAGGGGGAGACGTCCCTCGTCGCTTATTTCCGCTCGGCCTACGGCTACACCATCCGCCACCCCAACCTGCCGTGCGTCATGCCCTCCCTCCCCTCCCTTCCCCCCCGTGCAGCTACCGCATTCAGGGCCTCACACGTGAGCCAGCACACGCCCTCACCTTCACCATTGAAGGCCAGGGCGAGACTTCCCTCGTCTCCTACTTCTGCTCGGCCTACGGCTACAGCATCCGCCACCCCAACCTGCCGTGCGTGATGGCGGGCGGCGGGGGGAAGAGCTACCTGCCAATGGAGGTGTGCCACATCATCGGCGGGCAGCGGTACGGCCCCAAGCTGAACGAGGAGCAGGTCAGCTCGCTGCTGCGCTTCACGTGCACGCGGCCTGATGTGCGGGCGGGGGAGATCGGCAGCATGGTGACCCGCAATGACTACCCCAAGTGAGCTGACCGGCATTTTGCCATGCCCATGCTAACCGCTGTCTTGCTGTCATCCCAGTCCTTCCCTCACTCGGGTTCCTGCCATCATCCCCCCTAACTCTTCAACAGCCTCTCCCCCTCTCATCACTTCCCCCTTTCTTCCCCCCCCACCCTCCTTCTCCCCATGCAGCGACCCCTATGCCCGCGAGTTCGGCATGTTGGTGCATCTATGACTCGCCTGCAGGACTTTCACTCACTCTCTCCCTCCCTGCTTCACACTCCCCCATCTTTTCCCGCCAACCACCCACCTTCCCACCATGCAGCGACCCGAACGCGCGCGAGTTCGGCATGCTGGTGCATCCCGAGATGACTCGCCTGCAGGGCCGCCTGCTGGACGCGCCCCGCCTCGTGTACAAGGATAAGAAGGACGTGAGTGCACGCGCTGAGGGGGGGATGGGGACAGGGGGGATGAAGGGGATATTGGGGGGGGAGGGATATGGGTGGGTGGGGTATTCGTCGGTTCGCCTGCTGGAGCTGCCCCGCCTCGTGTACAAGGATAAGGAGGACGTGCGTGGGCTCAGGGGGGGGGGCGTATGGGGGGTGGGTGGGGGTATGAGTGGGGTGGTTGGTTGAGTGAAGGGGCGCCTGCTGGACGCGCCCCGCCTCGTGTACAAGGATAAGGAGGACGTGCGTGGGGGAGAAGGGGTTGATCTGGGGGGAAAAGAGGGGGAAAGGTGTTGCGTGGGTGGGTGCATGGGGCAAATGCAGGGCCGTCTGCTGGAGCCACCTCGTGTACAAGGATAACAAGGACGTGCGTGGGCTGAGAGGAAAGGGGAGAATAGGAATGGGGGGGTGTGGGAGGGTAGAGGATGGGTGGGTGGGTGCTGGACTGGGCTCCCATAGTGTATCGGAACTACAAGGATGTGCGTGCATTGCCCCTCAATTGCTTTCTCCCCCATCACTTCCCCGCTTTCCTCGCTTGCACCGTCTCCTCTCCCCTCGCTCCTCTCTTTCCCCCTCCCGTGCACCAAGTGGCACTGCACTGTGGAGCAAGGATGCTGTACTTTTAACACTCACACCCTCCCCGCCTCCTCTCCCTTCCTCCCCTCCTCTCCTGCTCCCCACAAACACACCAGGTGGTGCCGCGGTTTGGAGCGTGGAACATGATGGGGGGGCAGAGGCTGATAGAGGGGGCGCGCATAACGCACTGGACCATCATCAACTTCGCCCCCTACCTCGACGCCATGGGCGTGCAGCGCTTCGGCCAGGCCCTCACGCAGCGCTGCGCTGAGCTGGGCGTGCATGTGAGTTAATAGGAGCCAGTCAACGCCAGTCAACGCCAGTCAAGGGTATTAACTTGGGCCCCTACCTCGACGCCATGGGCGTGCAGCGCTTCGGCCAGGCCCTCACGCAGCGATGTGCTGAGCTGGGCGTGCAGGTGAGTCATTAGGAATGAACGCGAGGCAATAAGAGTTTTAGAATTTTCCAGTTCGTGTGGTGGGGTGTGGTGTGGATGCATGTCCAGCGCAGTCAAGGTCCTCGTGCAGCACTGCGCTGAGCTGGGCGTGCAGGTGAGTCAGCAAGAGTCAATGCGGGAGTCAATGGGAGTCAAGATGGGAGGCATGGGGGATAGTGGGGCACCGGGTTCGATGGGATTTGACAGGGAGCAACACAATAATTCCAGTACTGTTAGCACAGAAACCCTCACTTGTCCTTCCTCATTCTCTCGTTCCGTCTTGCTTCTCCTTTCCCTCCTTCCCCCCTCCGCCCCTCCTCTCCTCATCCCCACTTCTGTCTTATGTCATCTCGCTTCCGCCTTCCCCCCTTCCTCCTTCCGTCACTCGCTTTTTTCCCACTTTTATCCCTTCACACCTGTCTCTCTTCTCCCTCCCCCTGTCCACCCCCCACTCCCGCTCCCCTCATCAGTTGGAGCTGTGCCTTGTGCTGCCGCCCCTGACGGGCCGAGTGGAGGCGGTGGAGGCGGTCATGCGCCAGCTGGAATCATCATCACCATCTCGCTTATCCCGGCCCCCATTTCCCCTCCCTCCCCTTCCCTTCAGATGGAGCCGCGCCCGGTGGTGCCGCCCCTGACGGGGCGGGTGGAGGCGGTGGAGGCGGTGATGCGCCAGCTGGCGGACGCTAGCAGCCGAGAGGTGCCCCCCGGGCAGTGGCTGCAGCTGGCCGTGGTGATTCTGCCGGGCCGAGGCACGTTCTACAATGAGATCAAGCTGATCGCTGAGACGCAGCTGAACGTGGTCACGCAGTGCTGCCTCGTGAACCACGCTCACAAGTGAGTCCTTCCTTGTGTGAATGACGCACAGCAGATAGTCAATGAGGGTAATTGGTGGTGATGGGCACGCTGTACAACGACATGAAGCCGATCGCTGAGGCACAGCTCAATGTGGTTCCTCAGTGCTGCCTTGTGAGCCACGCTCACAAGTGAGCCGGGGGAATTGGTGGTGGTATGGCGTGGCGAGGCACGTTGTAGAATGAGATCACACAACTCAACCTTATCACTCACATGCTTGCTGCTGCGATGCCAGCAGCTGTCCTGTGCTCTTCATCCCATCTTGCATCACCTCCCTCTCTTTCTCCTCTGCCCACACACCCCCCCCCCCTCTCCCCCAGGTGCCAGTCGCAGTACCTGGCGAACCTGGTGCTCAAGATCAACGTGCTGCTGCAATCCCCATCCACGAGTCGACTCACACAAGTCAGCCTCTTAGTGTTCCCTCCACCCCTCCTCGTATCACCTCCCGCTGCTCCCCCTCTCCCCCAGGTGCCAGTCGCAGTACCTGGCGAATCTGGTGCTCAAGATCAACGTGAAGCTGGGGGGGCGCAACGTGCTGCTGCAGTCACCATCCTCCCACCCATCACCACCCTCCCTCTCCACCCTTTCCCCCGCTTCCCCTGTTTCCCCTCTTTCCCCCCTTCCCCCCTTGACCCCCCAGGTGCCAGTCACAGTACCTGGCCAACCTGGTGTTGAAGATCAACGTGAAGCTGGGCGGCCGCAACGTGCTGCTGCAGTCAGAGAGCATCGGCCGCCTGCCCATGGTGGCGGAGCGCCCCACCATTGTGTTCGGCGCCGATGTGACGCACCCCAGCCCGGGAGATGATTCGTCTCCTTCCATCGCTGCTGTCGTCGCTTCTCGGGTAGGTGGGGGAAAAGGGACTGTTGAGTGTCACCAGGAGGCCATGGGTCGTCTCCCCATGGTAGCCGAGCGCCCCACCATTGTGTTCGGGGCCGATGTGGCCCACCCCAGCCCGGGGGACGATTCCTCGCCCTCCATCGCTGCTGTCGTGGCGTCCCGGGTGAGTGCTGTTGTGGACTGTTGAGCCAACTCAGAAGGCACAACATGCTGCGACAGTCGGAGGCCATGGTCGTCTCCCCATGGTGGCGGAGCGCCCCACCATTGTGTTTGGCGCTGACGTCACTCACCCCAGCCCAGGGGACGATTCCTCTCCTTCCATCGCTGCTGTTGTCGCCTCCAGGGTAAGTGCTGTTGTGGACTGTGTTGAGTCAACTCAGAGACCAAAACGTGCTGCTACAGGGAGAGGCAATAAGCCGTCTCCCCATGGTGGCGGAGCGCCCCACCATTGTGTTTGGCGCCGATGTCACGCACCCCAGCCCGGGGGATGACTCCTCTCCTTCCATTGCTGCTGTCGTCGCCTCCCGGGTAGGTGGGGGGAAAGGGAACGTTGAGTGGTATGATTGGGCTATTGGGCGTGTGCCCATGGTGGCGGAGCGTCCCACCATTGTGTTCGGTGCTGACGTCACGCACCCCAGCCCGGGGGACGATTCCTCGCCCTCCATTGCCGCTGTCGTCGCCTCTCGGGTGGGTTGGGTGGGAGAGGGTACTGTTGAGGTGACTGAGAAGGCACAACGTGCTGCAGTCGGAGGCCATGGGTCGTCTCGCCATGGTGGCTGATCGTCCCACCATCGTGTTCGGGGCCGATGTGACCCATCCCAGCCCGGGGGATGACACATCGCCCTCCATTGCTGCTGTTGTCGCCTCCCGGGTGAGTTAGGGGGGAGGGGGGAGGGAAAGGGACTGTTGAGTGTCATCAGGAGGCCATAGGCTGTCTCCCATGGTCGCTGAGCGCCCCACCATTGTGTTCGGCGCTGATGTCACCCACCCCAGCCCGGGGGATGACTCCTCTCCTTCCATTGCTGCTGTTGTCGCCTCCCGGGTGAGTGCTATTGTGGACTGTTGAGTTGGTCGAGAGGCTGTAACATGCTGGCCGATTGCCCCACTTGGCGCTGATGTCACGCACCCCATCCTGGGGGATGACTCCTCTCCTTCCATTGCTGCTGTTGTCATCTCCCATGGTGGCGGAGCGTCCCACCATTGTGTTCGGTGCTGACATCACGCACCCCAGCCCGGGGGACGATTCCTCGCCCTCCATCGCCGCTGTTGTGGCGTCCCGGGTGGGGTGGGAGGGTGAAAGGAAGGAGGGGGTGGGGGGCAGAAAGACATGGCGTGTGTTGCTGCATGCTTGCATGGATGGGTGTCCCGCACTGACGCCGTGTTGGTCTCAAGACATACTTCCCATTCAACAGTCGAACCCTCCATGCCTCGCCTTTCACTCTCCTTCCCCTTTCTGTCCCTCCACACATCTTTCTCTCCCCTTCTCCCCCTTCAGGACTGGCCGTGTGCGAACCGCTATTGCTGTCTGCTGCGCACGCAGGCGCACCGGCAGGAGATGATAGAGGGGCTGCACGAGGAGCGGCGGATGGAGAAATTTTTAGCCCGTCTGTTAATCAGCTTGTTACTCGCCCCACACAACCACCCGCCCCTCTCCTTCTCAGGACTGGCCGTGTGCGAACCGGTACGGGTGTCTGCTGCGCACGCAGGCGCACCGGCAGGAGATGATAGAGGGGCTGCATGAGGAGAGGCGCGGGGCGGACGGCAGCGTGCAGGCGGGCGGGTTGGTGCGCGAGCTGCTGATGGAGTTCTATCAGACCGCCAAGCGCAAGCCTGAGCGGATTATCTTCTTCAGGGACGGTGTTAGTGAAGGCCAGTTCTACCAGGTATGTTTGGAGTGGTGCCTTGCAGTGCAATGCGGTCCAGTGCGGTGCTGTGCGGTGGGTGCAAGCAGGCGGCGGGCTGGTGCGCGAGCTGCTGATGGAGTTCGACCAGACCGCCAAGCGCAAGCCCGAACGGATCATCTTCTTTAGGGACGGTGTCAGTGAAGGGCAGTTCTACCAGGTGTGTTCAGAGCGTGTACAGTGCAGTCTAGTGCTGTCCAGTGCGGTGGGTGCAGGCAGGGGGCCTGGTGCGCGAGCTGCTGATGGAGTTCTACCAGACCGCCAAGCGCAAGCCGGAACGCATTATATTCTTCAGGGACGGTGTCAGTGAAGGCCAGTTCTACCAGGTATGTTCAGTGCAGTGCAATGCAGTCCAGTGCGGTGCTGTGCGGTGCTGTGCGGTGGGTGCATTCAAGCAGAAAGGCTGGTGCGCGAGCTGCTGATGGAGTTCGACCAGACCGCCAAGCGCAAGCCCGAGAGGATCATCTTCTTTAGGGACGGGGTCAGCGAGGGGCAGTTCTACCAGGTGCGTTCAGAGCGGTGTGGTGCAGTGCAATGGGTGCAGGCGGGCGGGCTGGTGCGTGAGCTGCTCATGGAGTTCTACCAGACCGCCAAGCGCAAGCCAGAGCGAATTATTTTTTTTAGGGATGGTGAATGCCAGTTCTACCAGGTGCGTGCACTGTGGTGCTGTGCGGTCCAGTGCAGGTCCTGCCTGCATCACCACGTCCTACCCCTCTCCACCTCAATCACTCCCCCCCTCCCAACAACCCCCCCAGGTGCTGGCCTACGAGCTGGAGGCAGTGCGAGCAGCGTGCAGGGCCATGGACCCGTCGGGCAGCTACAGCCCGCGCATCACGTACGTGGTGGTGCAGAAGCGGCACCACACGCGGCTGTTCCCCGCTGACAACAACCGCGACAAGAACGGCAACGTCATGCCGGGGACAGTCGTGGACTCGGTCATCTGCCACCCGCGCGAGTTTGACTTCTTCCTCAACTCGCACGCATCCATCCAGGTGGCTACTGCTGCCCACTTGGCATTCATGTCGCGCCTCCGTTTGCTCAATGTGTCGCCCTTTCCGCTGCTCCACGCTTCCCTCCAAACCCCCTCACCTTCTCTCTCCTTGCCACTGGTATCAACTGTCTCTCCACGTGTCATCCGCTCCACCTTCGCCAAAGTGAGTCATTAATCACCCCTCTCTCAACCCCCTTCTTCCGCATCCTCACGCTGTACCTCCCCCACCCAGGGCACGTCACGCCCAACGCACTACCGAGTGTTGTGGGACGAGAACAGCTTCACAGCCGACAGCATGCAGGCGCTCTGCTACTCCCTCTGCTACACCTACGCGCGCTGCACGCGCTCCGTCTCCCTCGTGCCGCCCGCCTACTACGCTGACCTGGCGGCCACGCGCGCGCGCCTCTACCTGGAGGGCATCTCGGGCAGCATGCGGGGGAGCGGGTCCGAGAGTGGGTCGGCAGCCGGCCGAGCGGCAGGGGGAGGCGAGGTGGCGGGGTCGGGTGGCACGGGGAGCTCCAGTGGGTCGTCCAGGGTGGGGGGGGCGCCGCCTGTGGTGCCGCTGCCAGTGGTCATGCCTGTCCCCAGGAAGGGCATGTTCTTCTGCTGACTGCCTCCCTGCTCAGGCCTGCTCCTTGCCTGCCCGACTCCTTCCTGAGCCGTGGTCTTTGGCCGGCCACCTCCCTGCCGTGTTTGCGGTGGTCTTTACGCTGGTCTTTCATAGTGTGCTGCATGTTGCCTTCACTGGCTGGTGCTCTGTCATGCAGTCTGCGACACAGGGATGGGATGGGATGGGATGTGAGCCGTGGATGGGATGGAGGCTAGACTTGTCAAGGCCAGCAGTGGCTCGGGTTTGTGGCCTAATGCTGCCATGAGCATGGCTTTGTACATTTGACTTCCACCTGTTTCTTGTACAGTTGAGCTACCTTGTGCTGTGGTGTTTTTGGGTGACGGTGCTGTACTAAAACTGTGCTGCTACTTCGTGCATTTGCAATTTCAATCGTTCGATACGGTATGATAGCTGACATGATAGTAGCGTAGATGTTATGTTCGTTGGATCACGTGTCATGTAGACAAGTAATCATTCACGAGATCATGTGCACCGAATAATGAGCTTAGGGCTGCAAACAGTGTGCTAGGTAAGAACAACTTCGGTGCAGAGAGTACCTCCTCGTATGCAATGCAACCCTGCTACCACCATCCAGGGCTTGGCAGCTGAAACTTGAGTTAGTGCTTGCACACACTCCTAATGAGGCATGCCCAGAGATTTTATTTACTTGCACAATCATATGCAGTGTACGAAGCTCATGCGTTGCTGCAGTACCTATGAAATGCATGAGTGCGTTTTACCACATCAACCCCGATTTCTTTAATCATGCGAAAGCTAGGATCATTTGCATGAATTATATGCTGACACAATTGGATTGACGATATTGGGGAAGGAAAATGAGAAGAACTAGTCAATCTTGCTCATACTCTGCTGTTAAAAACGTTTATGTTGAAGAAAGCTGTATTGAAGATAATGTGCATGTTTATACTGGAATTATGGATGTTTGGTGTTGGTGTACGTTTTCTTATCAACAGCAAACATCGGTATCTCATCTCGGGTTTTCGTCAAAATTTTCGCTCCGTAACTGTTTCGTACGCTGCAATCCTGAGCACGACTTCTCCCAAACACGCGATTGTGTCAATGCCAAGCAGGTTGCCCGAGTGGTCTCAAACGAATCCTACGTGCGGCGAGTAATTGGTTTTCGCATTCTATCGACGCTTCTCATTGGCTGGGCGAATCGACGTTATCCAGCACTGGCTCGCTGCTGGTGGCCCCCCCAATCTCCTCCCCACCACTCCCCGTTTGCCCTCCCACCTCGCTGCTCCCATCGGCCCTCCAGGATATCCCTTTCTCCTCCGACCTTCAGCAGTGCTGTCTGTGTCTGACCCTAGAATCCACATTCTCGGACTCTGACGCCATGGCCGCCGTTGCTACCCGTGCCCTCGCCTCCGCGCCGGTTGCCCTCGAGGCTACCCGCCAACGCCTTGTCGCCGGCAAGGCCCTGCGCTCCGCTGTCCCTGCCGTCACTGCTGTGCGCGGCCAGAGGCTCGTTGCTCGTGCAAGCCTTGAGAAGGTGAAAAGTTGATTCACATTAGCCGGAGTTTATGAACCACAACGCCTGCTGTACTTGTTCCTCCGAAGTTAACGAACGTATAGCTGACATTGTCACCCTCGCATTTCCCGCATGTTTATTGCAGCCCACTCGCCAGACCTACTTCGCCTCCCCCCAGTCCCTGAGCTACCTCGATGGGACCCTCCCCGGCGACTTCGGCTTCGACCCCCTTGGCCTGTCCGACCCTGAGGGTGCCGGTAACTTCATCGACCCCAAGTGGCTCACCTACGGCGAGCTGATCAACGGCCGCTGGGCTATGCTCGGTGTTGCCGGCATGATCGCTCCCGAGATCCTCGGCAGCTACGGCATTGGCCCCAAGATTGTGTGGTTCCAGTCCGGTGTGATTCCCCCTCTTGGCGGCTACGAGTACTGGGCCGATCCCTATGCTCTGTTCGTCCTCGAGATCGTCCTGATCGGCTTCGCCGAGCACAGAAGAGCTCAGGACTACTACAGTAAGTACCCTTCTGTCGTGTGCCAACTGTCCTCCATGTTCATATTACCTCCTACCATGCACCTCTCTTCCGTCGTTTCCGTGCAAACACTGACCTTGATTCCTTTCGTTAATGGCAGAGCCCGGCTATGGCTCCAAGCAGTACCTGCTGGGTCTTGAGAAGGTTCTCGGCGGCTCCGGCGACCCCATCTACCCCGGCGGCCCGGTCTTCAACTTCGCTGGCCTGGGCAAGACTGAGGCGGAGATGTTCACCTACAAGACGAAGGAGGTCAGGAACTCCCGCCTTGCCATGCTCGCTGCCCTCGGCTTCTTCTTCCAGGCGTGGATCACCGGCGTGGGCCCGTACCAGAACCTGCTCGACCACTTGGCCGACCCCGTCAACAACAACATCCTCACCAACCTCAAGCTGCACTAAGCTGTTTATTCTCAATTTAAATGTAAAGATGTGAGATTTTTAATTACAAACCCAAATTGTGCATTATAGTACTGCTACTATCAAGTGCTTCAGAATGTGAGGCGAACCAACCAATATTCTGGAGTAAATGCTACGGAGCAAAGGGGTGTTATATGCAACTAATCCAATACTCTGGTTGATAATTTGAAACCAATTTCAGTGGTAGCGTGCTTGTTACTCCCATCGTTCCACATCCTGAAGATTCCTTCCACAAGCTTGCTGCTGATAATGGCGTCTATTGGCACACTGGCAACCACGCCTGCGACACTCCGTCCCCTGCACCTCGGATCTAGGGCGAGCAGGATTCCAGTTCAAGCATGCAGAGGGGCCAGAATAGTCGCCAGAGCAAGCCCGAATAAGGTAAGGCTGCATGCAAGACAGACTAGGAATCACGCTGTATCACCAACAGGGTGCCTAATGCCGTTCTTCGATAAGCGCTCGTGCAGGATGATCGGCCAACCTGGTTCGCTTCATCCCAGTCGCTGACTTACCTTGACGGAAGGTCAGTCCCCATTCGCCCACACAAGATCGCGTCGCACTAGACCTCATGCCACGCGCTCCTTCATGGTTACTGTTAGGCTGAGTGCATATATCTTCCCGCACGTACGTCTGAGACCTAAGCCCGTCTTCGTTCCGCCGTCGCAGCCTGCCAGGCGACTACGGGTTCGATCCGCTCGGCCTGTCGGACCCGGAGGGGGCGGGCGAGTTCGTGTGCCCCCGATGGCTGGCGTACGCGGAGGTGGTGCACGCGCGGTGGGCCATGCTGGGCGCGCTGGGGATGGTCGCGCCGGAGATGCTGGGCGATCTGGGCGTCATCCCCGCGCGCACGGGCGTCGAGTGGTTCCGCTCGGGCGTCATTCCGCCGCTCGGCGCGTTCGACTACTGGGCTGACCCCTACGCGCTCTTCGTCGCGCAGGCGGCGCTGCTGGCATTCGCGGAGCACCGGCGCGCGCAGGACTACTACGGTGAGTCGCACCCGCGCGGAGTAAACATGCTTGCAGCTCCGCCCTCAAGCCTACAATGTGCTTTCTTGCCATGCCAGTATAGACTCGTTTGATCCGTCCGCGATGTCCGCTGGGTGCGATCATCCTCACGCGCAGCTCATCCCACGCCGTCCGTCCTTCCCCCTCGTGTCGCGCGTCCTGGCAGCGCCCGGCTACGGCGCGGCGACGCCATTTTTCGGCCTCGAGCGGCTGCTGGGCGGCTCCAAGCGCCCCGCGTATCCCGGCGGGCCGTTCTTCAACTTCGCGCGCCTTGGACGCTCCAGGGCGGAGATGCGCGCGCTGCGCACGGCGGAGTTGAAGCACGGGCGCGTGGCGATGGCGGCGTGCGCGGGATATTTCGCGCAGGCGGCGGTGACGGGGAGCGGGCCGTGGCGCAACGTGGTGGAACACGTCGCGGATCCCGCGGGCCACAACCTGCTGGCGCTCGTGGGGCTGCTGTGACGCGCGCACGCGCGCATGGTGACCGCCCGTGCTGCATTGCGCTGCCTGCTGCGGCGAGACGGGCAAGACCGTGTTGGGGGTGCCTCCATTTGTGCTCAATGATCATCCATAGCTCCAGAGCTGGAGCCGGACGGTGTAATGGACGAAACCACGGCAGCCAGCATGCTTTGGCACAGGGATTGGAAGGAATGTTCACTCGTGTATTACAATCAGTTGTGTCCATCTTTGACTAGGGTAGGGTAGGGTACACTGTTGATGAATCTAGTGTATCTACAAGCAACAGAGGTGCTAGTCCTTGCGCAGGTCCATGATCTCCCGCCGCACACCATTCTTGTCGATCACCACAATCTCCAATGCGTCGCCCTGCATGCCCCCCCCCCCCCCCCCCCAACACACATACACACAGTAATCAGCAAGTGGGTGCTGAGTAAAAAGGAACATGAACCGATGGCAGAGAAAAGCTTCCACTGACATGTAAGGGGCGGATTGGAAGGGGAGGAGAGAGGGAGACACAGCAGATGGGCTGACTGAAGGATTCAGGGGAGCATGGGCAGGGGGCAGGGCACGCACGGTGTAGCTGTCGCGCTCTGCAGCGGAGGCAACAGAGCGGCTCACTAATCGAGTAGGGAGCATGGGCAGGGGTTGGGGGGGCAGGGCAGGGCAGGGGAGCATGGCAGGGCAGGGGAGCATGGCAGGGCAGGGGATCATGGCAGGGCAGGGGAGCATGGGCAGGGCAGGGGAGCATGGGCAGGGGGGAGCATGGGCAGGGGGGAGCAGGGGAGCACGCACGGTGTAGATGTCGCGCTCTGCAGCAGAGGCGAAGGTGTCCTTGATGAGATCCACCGCCTCCTCCTGTGATAGCTTCGTTGCTAGCGGCTGCACGGCGCACACAGGCACAGCACACAGAGGCATGGGCAGACCGCACAGCAGAGTTGAGAAGATACTTGTGCTATGTTACACGCGCAGATGAATGAGCAGATTGGAAGGCAGGACAAAGCATGGCAAGCACACACCCAAGGCAGCATCTATCCCTGTGGCCATGCGGTGCGGTGCGCACCTGGGGAGGCAGCACGAGGGGGTTGGCGGCTTTGAGCTGGGAGTCGAGCACGGGCACCACGAGCTGCTGCCCCGTGCCGTGCACCACGTACCCCAGACGCTCGTGTGACCCCACTGCGTCGTACCCATACACACACCCCACTCCTGGTGGAGCGTGCACAGGGGGAAGTGGGTGGTGCCGGGGGGGATGGATTAGGGGAGATGAGGAGGGGAGATAAGTGGCTATGATGCGGCATGGGCAGCAAGCACCGTGCCGTGCACCACGTACCCCAGACGCTCGTGTGATCCCACTGCGTCGTACCCATACACACACCCCACTCCTGGTGGTGCGTGTGTCAATGGGGGGGTGGTGACAGGGGCATGGATTGGAAGAGTTGAAGAGAGAAGTTAAGAGCTTAAGTGATATTTCAAAATGCAGTCTAAGAAGTGCAGCAGACATGGAGTGCACGGCATGGTGAATGTGGCATGCGACATAGTGCATGTGGCACGGGCAGCAAGCAATATGTCCCCATGCCATGGACAAACAGCCTACCGTTAACATCCAATCCAGCGAGGGCATTGAAGGTGTAGTAGGGGAAGAACCGAGCGTGTTGGCCAGCAGATGAGGTCGCAGTGCCATGCAACAAGCAGCCTACCATTGGAACATGCAGCTCACCGTTAACATCCAATCCGGCGAGGGCATTGAAGGTGTAGTAGGGGAAGAAGCGCTTGTAGTAGAGCGTGTTGGCTAGCAGCTGTGCCATCGCCTCACACCCCATCTCCTCGTTGTGCTGCTGCTGGTACACCTGCCAGCCACACGGTTGGGGGGAGTGTGAGGAAGGGGACGGGGGGAGAGAGGGAGGGCGGGGGGAAAGATGGGGGGTATGCGCGGAGTTGGGAGTGGAAGCAGTTTCCCTTTCGCAGCTCAGTTGAAAATGTTAGACGCCCTGCGTGGCTAACTGGTATGCAGCAAGCGCCTTATGCAGCAAGCGCCTCTGCAACACATCCGCCCCCCATGCCCGCCCCCCACGTCTTCCCCACCTCATGCCACAGGTGCAGCACCTCATGCCACAGGTGCAGCACCTTCTGCAGCATCAGCCTTTCCAACCGACGCCCACAACCTATGTTTACACCGCCACATGCCCAACCCCCCATGCCCGTCCCCCCATGCCCGTCCCCCCATGCCCGTCCCCCCATGCCCGTCCCCCCATGACCCCCCCCCCTCCGCGCACCTCATGTCGCGAGTGCAGCACTTTCTGCAGCATCAACCTGTGCACTCGACCTACGCCCCCTATGCCCGCTCATCCCTCCCCTCTATGCGCACCTCGTGGCGCTGGTGCAGCACCTTCTGCAGCATGCGCCCTTCCACCCCATGCCCCCCAGCCCCTGACTCCCAGCTCCCCATGCCAGCCCCGCCCCCATTCCCCCCTCCCCTCTATGCGCACCTCGTGGCGTTGGTGCAGCACCTTCTGCAGCATGCGGCGGTCCGCCTGGAAGCCCGAGCTCACCAGCACACAGCGGTCCGAGCTGCGGGCCACAAACGCGCGGAGAGGGGTGGGGGGAGTGGGGGAAAGGGGAAGCGCAGGGCACGTGGGGTGAGGGGGAAGCCCGAGCTCACCAGCACACAGCGGTCCGAACTGGGGGCAACAGGCGCGCGGAGAGGGGTGGGGGGAGTGGGGGAAAGGGGAGGCGCAGGGCAAGTGAGGTGAGGGGGGACGCCCGAGCTCACCAGCACACACCGATCCGAGCTGGGGGCACGGGCGCGCGAGAGGGGTGGGGGTGGTTGGGGGAGGAAAAGGGGAGGCGCAGGGCAAGTGGGGTGGGAGTCCCCGGGGAAGGGGAATGCGCAGTGCAACGGAGGTTGGTGGGGAAGGGTGCAGCGTATGAGGTGTTGGGAGGAAGGCGCGAGGCAAAGGGGGCGAGAAGGGAAGCAGAGAGGCAACAGAGGCAGAGAAAGGAAGGGGAGAGGCTGAATTCCAATCTGTCACAGCGCAGCGATGCACGGCTGGAAAAAGGAATAACCGTGGGAACAGACCAACAGGCGAGCAGGGAGTGAGGGGGAGAGGGGGGGTGAGGAAGGTAGGGGAGGAGAGAGAGAGGGAGGATAAGGGCGACGTGGGCGGAGGAGCGATAGGAACGGGGAGAAGGAGGTGAGCGATAGAGGTCGGGGGGCGGGGAAGCGATAGGGGCGGGGAGCGGGGAGGCGGGGCGGACATGCGGAAGATCTTGGAGGCGGAGCGCGTGTAGATGCTGTAGCCCGTGGACAGGCGCGTGTCCCCCGCCACTATCGCGAAGTCGCTCCCCGCCACCGCCATGCTCGTGCTGCGCGCGGGGGGAGGTGGAAGAGGGGGGGAAGGGGGACGGGGAACGGCGGACGGACAGACGAGAAAAAGGATGAATTCGACGGATGCGCGACGGGGAAAGAAGGAAGGGAGGATGGGCGAAATGGATGGGCGGATGGAACGGAGGGACGGAGAAGCGAGGATTGGTGGATGGGACGGATGGGCTGATGGGAGGATGTCGGTTGGATGAGGTCGTTTCGCATGAACTTGGATCTACAGTCTCAAAAAGGTGCGAGCGAGCGGAGCTCGAGAATGGACGGTTAGAGCGCAGGCGGGGCGCTCCCACCGCCTCAGAATAGTGGCGCGCACACGCGGAGCGCATAATCGGCTGCCGTACGGCCGCAACGGCGTCAACTCCGAGGACCATCCGCTTCCACCGCGGAGAACTCGCAGTTTACACCGTGCAAACACAGCACGGATCGAGATTCCGCAATTTCTGGCGCGAATGGTGGAGGAGGAAGCCGGTGGCATCTCACCCGCCGTTGTTGTCGTACGGGCTCCAGTGCGCCATGGCGCGCTCCTCTGCGGCGTTGCTGCTACGCTCTGCACAGTTTCCTCCTCCTCGTGGTTCAGTCGAAACGCGAGCTCCGCTGAACAACCCTCGCCGCGCTGCGATGACGATTAGGCGACGGCAGTTACGTAAGACGGGAAGAGGAGGTACGAGTCAGACTAACTAGTCGAGGTGATTAGCGGACTGGCGTGGATGTGGGCGATGGGGGGATCTGGGATGCTGGGTTGGGCCTCATTCACATTCGCTCTCGCTACAAACACTCTTTCTACTTGTGTGTAGCGTTGCTACACCAGGTTTCGCAAGAGCAAGGAGCCCCAATTCAAATGTAGTACTTCCCTTCCGCCCTTTACATAAGCAACACGTAGATGAAAATATCAAGCATTAGCAACTGAAATTGATAAAATTATCAAGATTTCCACTGGAGGAGCTTCATGGCAAAGCTAGCATATATTTTGCAATGCCAAGGCGGATGTAAGCGGCGCCATTATCCGCAATGCATTAATCGCAGAGGTCTATTTCGCGAATAGCACCGACCAGAAGGTTCTGCGTCTCGCCTGCTCTGGGCTTGGCCGTGCGAAGCAGCATTGACCACACAGCAGGGCTTTTCGCACTTACTCACTACACACTGGCGAAATCGGAGGGTGGTCTGGCTGGCAGTTAGCGGCGGTTTGGTTCGGTTAAGTGCGAGGAGGAAGAGTGAGAGTGCGAGCAAGACCATCACTCACGCCCATCATCATGAGGGGGTGTCAGTCGGCCGAGCAGACACAGCAACACCCAACCCAACCTCTCAGCTTTCACCTTGTTCTGGCCGCCGAACAGCACAGTCCAATGAAGCACTATGGCGCCGTGGGTAGCTAGCGACGATACTTATTTAGACGAGCGCGCGCCATGACGTCATGCTCGTCGTGTGCTTCACCTCACTCTGCTTCCATCCCGATCCGCGGATCGCGACATTGCAGCACGATGTTAGGTCATGCCGCCTCTGCTGCCATCTGTTACCGCTTAGTCAGTCGACTTAGGTAGCTAATGTTTTGTTTATATCAGTAGCGACGGCGTAGCTATTTATCCTGGTAACGTATCTCTAAAGGCATTAGCTTTTATCGGATCTGCTAGCTCTGAGACGGACGCACAAGACGCGCGGCATGCTCTAGCCATCCGTGCCTGCGCCATTCTCACTCGTACCAAGCGGGTGTGCCGTCGTACCGGTTATAGAGTCGCTCGTTATTGCGATGGGGTGCGCCGTGTCGGTGGAGGTGGCCGGCAAGAACGACGCGGGGGGGGCGAGCAACCACGCAGTTGCGCAGAAGCCGACAGGGAAATCCGTTACAGTGCAAGGTACTGTATGGCGCCGCGGCGCGAGCGATCGAACCAGCGTTTTTAAAGCGAGCACTGGGGAAGGGTGTCGCGCGAGGCACATGCGCTTGCCATCTCCGTCGCTCGATTGCCGCTTCCCTGCTGGCGGCGCTCTCGTTTCGTGCGCCCTCGTGTTTCGTGCGCCCTCGTGTTTCGTGCGCCCTCGTGTTTCGTGCGCCCTCGTGTTTCGTGCGCCCTCGTGTTTCGTGCGCCCTCGTGTGCGCGACCGTTGTATTCTCCCGTCCCACCCTCCGCCCACCTCAATTCCCATCTGTCCCCTCTTCATCCCCACCGTGCCGCCCATCATCGCGCCGCGCCAGACGCGCAAGTGCCAGCCACGACGGAGGTCGAGGAGCGCCCGACGGAGGCCGTCGAGTCGACGGCGACGGAGGGCGCGCGGCCGCTGCGCAAGTTCAAGCTGCGCGAGGTGCGCGAGATGTGCGACGGGTTCTCGTCCAAGTGCCCCGTGCTGGGCGAGGGCTCCTTCGGCACCGTCTACCGCGGCTCGGCGGACCTCGACGGGCGCGCCGTCGACGTGGCGGTGAAGCGGCTCAGCGCGGAGAGCCAGCAGGGCGTCGACGAGTGGCTGGTGCGTCGCGCCGCTTGGGGTGTGACTTTTGAGACGAGTGGGGGTTGCGTGCGGCTTGAGGGTGCGCGCCCGCCTGAGGGATGCGCACTCGTTTGGGGGGAGTGCGTACTGTTGGGATGTACGCAGGCTTTGTTGCTATGTGCGGGCTTGGGGGTGCGCGCACGATTGGGGGGTGAGCGCACGGTTGGGGGGTGAGCGCACGGTTGGGGGGTGAGCGCACGGTTGGGGGGTGAGCGCACGGTTGGGGGGTGAGCGCACGGTTGGGGGGTGAGCGCACGGTTGGGGGGCTGAGCGCACGGTTGGGGGCTGCGTGCAGGCTTTTGGGGTCGCGCGCGGGGGGCGCGCATTCTTGGGGAGAAAGGCGTACGCTTGTGGGGTCCGCGCAGACTTTTGGGGTGCGCACAGGCTTGGGGGGTGAGTGCACGCTTGGGTGGAGGCAGGTTTGGAGTGTGACCACAGGCTTGGGGGATGCACGCCTGCCTGGGGGGTGCGCACAGGTTACGGGGTTCCGCAGGCTTGGGGGATGCGTGTCTGTAAATGGGGGTGCTTGCTGCTGCCTGCGGCCGCGCCCTTGCGTTGCCAGCGGGGTGAGCGAGGATGGAGACTCGTGTATCGCCTGTACCCTCTCTTCCTCCCCTCGCCCTCCCCCCCTCTCAAGCAAGCCGCCTTGGATTCGCCGCCACACCATCCTGCATTCCTCATCCATTCATCTCCTCCCCCACACTCCTGACTTACTCTCTCCCCCCTCCCCACCCATCTCTCTCCCTCTCCCCCCTCCCCCATCCCCATTCCCCTCCCCTCACCTCTTCCCCCTTCCCCTCCTCGTGCGCGCGTGGCTGTGCCCGTGGCATTGGGTGGTGAGTGCTTGCTGCTGCCTGCGGCCGTGCCCTTGCGTTGCCACCGAGCGAGCGAGGATGGAAACTAGTGTATCGCCCCTCCCCTCTTTTCCCTTCCCCATCTTCACCCCCCCCCCTCTTCCTCCCCTTCTCATGCGCACCTGGGTGACCGTGGCTGAGCAGGCGGAGGTGCTGATTCTGGACCGGCTGCGCCATGCGAATCTGGTGGAGCTGCTGGGGTACTGCAAGGAGAAGGGCGAGTGCCTGCTCGTCTACCACTACTACGCCAACGACAGCGTTGAAACAGCCCTCTTCAATCGTAAGCCACCCTCTTCAACCGTGAGTTTCCTTCCCACCTTCCTTCTCTCCCACCTTCCTTTTCCCCACCTCCCTTCTCTCCCAACTTTTCTCTCTCCCAACACCCCATCCCCCCGCCCTCCTCCCCCAACCCCCCCTTCCCCTCCGCACGACCACGCCCATATCCGCTAGCCCCACCATGTAACTGTTCCCTTCCACTCACCCTTATTTCAGCCTCCTCTCCAACCCTCCCTTTCCACCCCCTTCCATCCCCCCCTCCCCACACCCCGTCCTCCTCTCCCCCCCTCTTCCCCCACCCATCCCCCTCTCCCCACTCCCCTTCCCCCTCCCACCCTCCCTCACGCTCTCTCCCCACCGGTCCTCCCCCATCCCTTCCCCGCACCCCTCCAAACCGCATCCCTTCTCCCCCCACTCGCCCCCTTCCCACCCAACACCATCCCGCCGCCCCCTCTCCGCGCTGCCTCTCCCCCCTCTTCTCCCCCACTCCCTTCATGTGTGGAGGCAAGCGAGCGGGGCAGGAGCCGTTCTCGTGGGAGCGGCGGGTGAGCGTGGCGTGGCAGTCAGCGGGGGCGCTGGCGTATCTGCAAACCCTGTCCTCTGCGATCGCTCTCCCAGACCCCTGCAAGCCACTTCCTTTCTCCCCCAACTCGTCTCCCTCCCTGTCCAACACCCATCCCACCGCCCCCTCCCCTCCCCCCCCCCCATCTCCCCCGTGCCGTGCGAGCGGGCAGGCAAGCGCGCGGGGCAGGAGCCGTTCTCGTGGGAGCGGCGGGTGAGCGTGGCGTGGCAGGCGGCGGAGGCGCTGGCGTATCTGCACGCCAACGACGTGATTCACCGCGACTTCAAGCCCTCCAACGTGCTGCTCGATGCGGTGAGCGCAAGGGGATGGATAGGAGGCTGGGCGATTTAGGCAAGGTGGCACGGTGCTGGGTGGGCTTGGGGTGAAGGTTGAGGCGCTGGTGTTGTGCTCGATGCAGTGAGCGCAAGGGGACGGGGGGCTAAGGGATTCACGCAAGCTGGCACGGTGCTGGGTGCTGTTGGGGTGACGGTTGACGCGCTGGCATGCTGCTTGATGCGGTCAGTGCAAGTGGGGAGGGGAGGGGGGAGAGAAGAGGGGTATGGGCGGGGGAAGGTGGGGAGGAAGACTAGTGGGAAGGGTGCGCCTGGGTGAGTGGTATGCGTGGGAGCTATGTGACTGGGGGAGGTTGATGCTGTAGATGTGGGATGTGAGGCTGGGAGATTTGGTCAAGGTGGCAAGGCGGTGGGTGGGTGGGTGGGCGGGCGTGGAGCGGGAGGAAAGTTGGTTGGGTTGGTGGAGTGTGGGGAGGGCGGGAGCCACGACCGTACAGAGGAGGTGGGTAGGAGGGTGGGGGAGGGATGGGGAGACGAGCAGTAGGCCCCACTGCACCCTCTCGTGGAGTTTGGGAGAGACTTCACGCCTGCCTGATGCATGTTGTCTCCTCCTCTTGCCATCACCCTTGTTAATGTGCATCACTCTGGAAAAAATGTCCATCCTTCCTGCCTTTGAGTGCCCTTGCCCACGCCACGCCTCACTCACCACATCCCTCTCCCCTCCCTGCGTGCATGTGGGTGGCGGTGTTGGCGGTGGGGGTGGCAGGACTGGACGGCGAAGCTGAGCGACTTTGGGATGTGCAAAGAGCAGGAGGCGGGCAAGTCACACGTGTCCACGCGCGTCATGGGCACTCTGGGGTACCTCGACCCTGACTACATGGAAACAGGTGCCTCATGTGCCTCTCCCTTGTTGCACACACTCACGTGCCTCCCTTACTCTCATGTGCCCCTCCCTCTCTCTCTCACCATCACGTGTCCACGCGCGTCATGGGCACTCTGGGGTACCTCGACCCCGACTACATGGAAACAGGTGCCTCCTCACTCTTCACGTTTTTCACACACTCTCACATGCCTCGCATACTGCCACGCACAGGCTCAGGTGCCATGTGCAAACTCAGGTGCCACGCACAGAATCATTGTTAGGGGCCCAGATAGCGTGGCGAGTAGCTGACACGGACACACGGTGATGCAGATGGCAGCGCTGCCAGCAATTCCATCAACAGATGCCCTTGTTTCAACACACCTGCATGAGCTCTTAGTCGCCAACTTTTCCCCAATTACTCCATCCCCCCCCTCACAACTCCTCCCCCCTGTTCCCCCCTCCCCCACTCCCCCTCGGCAGGGCTGCTGCGGCAGAGCTCGGACGTGTATGCCTTCGGGGTGTTCCTGCTGGAGCTGATCACGGGCAAGCGCGCGGTGTCCGACACGGGGCAGCCGCTCACCAGCTGGGTGTTCCCCTTGCTGGACCAGAAGAAGCCCGAGATCGACCTGCTGATCGACTCGGCGCTGGAGAGCAGCTTTGACCGCGATAGCGCGCTCAAGATCGCCGTCATCGCCAAGTTCTGCATCGGCGACGAGGAGCTGCGCCCCGAGATGACCGCCGTCGCTGAGAGGCTCAAGAAGCTTGTTGTCTCGTGACCACGGCTGGGGGCTAGGGACCATGGCTTGTGATGTAAGTCGAGGGCTTGTGAGCAAAGCTGGTGGGCTTGTGACCATTGGCAAAGGATGAGATGGTGTGAGCTATTGGCATGGGTGGCACAGGTGGTAGAGTGGTGTTTGGTGGCGCTTCAGTAGTAATGCTACCGTCATCACCCGGATATAAGACAGTGTTGAATAGTAGACAGGGGTTGTCTATTATACGGGTGTCTCTTAAACACAGGCTAGCCTCATTATAAGACACCTATTTGTGTGTACGGGTTAAGAAAGTGTAGGAGTTAGGGGCAAATGTATAGCGAGGGGGTATCTTCTAAACGGTTCTTTGTCCATTTATAAGATTTATAAGACACCCTAAACCATCCCGTTTACAAGATAACTCAAGCATTTTTGCCCGTGTACGAGATAAGACATATATGTCTTATATCCGGGCGATGACGGTATGTTGTAGGGCTGCCACTGAGTCAAGAAGCAGTTGAGTTTCACCACCCGAAACATGAGAAAATCCACACAGGTGAAGTAAAAAAAATACGGTATAATAGGCTGGTCTGATTTATGACTGATCAGATAATTTATTCTCATAGCGCCAGCCCTAGTTGGGAATACTGAATACATACTACATGCAAATAGGCCTAGACAAGCGCAGCCCCCTGACCCCGTCGGAAAAACGCTCGGGACGAGAACTTCCACCACCAAAACGTCTAGAACCATCCGTACATGCGCAGGAAGTGCAGCAGACGCTCTTCATTCGCGAGCGATGACCGATTATGCTCGCAACCCTCCCACGCCCTTGCTAGCTTGGCAGTAGGCCCAGACAAGCGCAGCCACATAACCCGGCGAAAGAAAAACGCTCGGAACGAGCGCTTCAAGTCCCAAAACGCGGAAGGATCCGCACATGTGCAGAAAGTGCAACAGTCGCTCTTCATTCGCGAGCACCGATGACCGATGATACTAGAAACCCTCCCACGCCCTTGCTGGCTTAGCAATAGGCCCAGACAAACGCGGCCACATGACCCGGCGGAAGAAAAACGCTTGGAACGGGCGCTTCAAGCCCAAAACGCGGAGGGATCCGCACATGTGCAGGAAGTGTAGCGGGCGCTCTTCATTCGCGAGCGCCAATGACCGATGATGCTCGCAACCCTCGCACGCCCTTGCTGGCTTGACAATAGGCGCAGACAAGCGCAGTCATGTGACCCGGCGGAAGAAAATCGCTCGGAACGAGCGCTTCCAGCCCAAAAACACATCATCGGTCATCGACGCTCGCAAATGAAGAACGCCCGCTACACTTCCTGCACACGTGCCGATTCTTCCGCGTTTTGGGGGTGGAAGCGCTTGTTCCGAGCGTTTTTCTTCCCCCGGGTCATGTGGCTGCGCTTATCTGGTCCTCTTGCCAAGCCAGAAAGGGCGTGGGAGGGTTGCGAGCTTCATCGGTCATCGACGCTTGCGAATGAAGAGTGCCCGCTGCATTACGTGCACATGTGCGGATCCTTCCGCGTTTTGGGGGTACTAGCGCTTGTTCCGAGCGATTTTCTTCCAACACATCACGTGGCTGCGCTTTGTCAAACATTGTATGTTTATATTGTGTAGGCTATAGTGGGTTTAGCCTTAGAGGGTACACAAACTTAGGGTTTCATACTTGTACCCACCTTCCTGCTAGTTCATCCATTCTCGTTCTATTCTAGATTCTGACATGGTATCAGAGCCTAGGTTGCTACCTAGGACCGCTTTCTACAATGGGCCCACTATTCCGCTAGGCGCGCCCTCGTGCGCCCTACCTTACGTGCGCCCTCGTGCGCCCTACCTTACGTGCGCCCTCGTGCGCTCTACCTTACGTGCGCCCTCGTGCGCCCTCGTGCGCCTTTCTCTGCTAGTGCGCCTTCGTGCGCCCTCGTGCGCCCTCGTGCGCCCTCGTGCGCCCTCGTGCGCCCTCGTGCGCCCTCGTGCGCCCTCGTGCGCCCTCGTGCGCCCTCGTACGCCCTCGTGCGCCCTCGTGCGCTCTCGAGCTGCCCCTGCAGGTCCGTCAGGCCCCCGAGCCGCCGCTGCAGGCCCGTCAGGCCCGAGAGCCGCCCCTGCACACCCGTCAGGCCCGCGCGCAGCCTCTGCACGACCGCGCGCCGCCCCTGCAGGCTCTCGCCGCCCGCCGCGTCGCCCTGCCCGTGGCGTCGCCGCCTCCCCGCGGCGTCGTTGCCTGCCCGCGACGCAGCCCCTGCCCGCGGCGTCGTCGCCTGCCCGCGGCGTCGTCGCCTGCCCGCGGCGTCGCCGCCTGCCCGCGGCGTCGTCGCCTGCCCGCGGCGTCGTCGCCTGCCCGCGGCGTCGTCGCCTGCCCGCGGCGTCGCCGCCTGCCCGCGGCGTCGTCGCCTGCTCGCGGCGTCGTCGCCTGCCCGCGGCGTCGTCGCCTGCCCGCGGCGTCGTCGCCTGCCCGCGGCGTCGCCACCTGCTAGCGGCGTCGCCCTACTCGCGACGTCGTCGCCACCTGCCCGCCGCGTCGCCCTGCCCGCGGCGTCGCCACCTGCCCGCCGCGTCGCCCTGCCCGCGGCGTCGCCACCTGCCCGCCGCGTCGCCCTGACCTAATCCGCCTCTCGCCCCTGGAGCAGCCGCCACTGCAGCAGCAGCCCCTGGAGCAGCCGCCACTGCAGCAGCAGCCCCTGGAGCCGCCCGCCACTGCAGCAGCAGCCCCTGGAGCCGCCCGCCACTGCAGCAGCAGCCCCTGGAGCCGCCCGCCACTGCAGCAGCCCCCTCTGGAGCAGCACGCACCTGCAGCAGCCGCCCCTGGAACAGCCCGCACCTGCAGCAGCCGCCCCTGGAGCAGCCCGCACCTGCAGCAGCCGCCCCTGGCACCTGGAGCAGCTGCCGTCGCGGCCCAGCCTCGCCCTGCCGCAGCTGCCGCGGAGCTCCCTGCTGCGGCCCGGCCCAGCCCTGCAGTTGTAGCGGCCCCACTGTCGCCACCGTCTTGCGCTTGCCGCGCCGACCACTGGTGAGCATTGCCCAGTACTGCTGCAACTGCCTTTTCTACTCCCACTGCCACTGCTCCTGCTGTTACTACTGTTACTGCCGCTACTGCTACTACTGCTGCTCCTGACGTGGCCAGATGCAGCTCCAGGGCTGTGCGCGTGAGTCCCCCACGCCCCAGCAGCTTCGTGCGCGTGAGTGGTACGCTAGTCGGGGCTGTCGGGGTGGCCGTCGTGGTAGTCGCTCTGGAGTGGGTCGGTCGGGAGCTTCTGGTAGTGGACAGGTGCAGCAGCCGTGTCCTCCTTCGCCCCAGCTGCTTCGTGCGCGTGAGTGGTACGCTAGTTTGGGCTGTCGGGGTGGCCGTAGTGGTAGTCGCTCTGGAGTGCATCGGTCGGGAGCTTCTGGTAGTGGACAGGTGCAGCAGCCGTGTCCTCCTTCGCCCCAGCTGCTTCGTGCGCGTGAGTGGTACGCTAGTTTGAGCTGTCGGAGTGGCCGTAGTGGTAGTCGCTCTGGAGTGCATCGGTCGGGAGCTTCTGGTAGTGGACAGGTGCAGCAGCCGTGTCCTCCTTCGCCCCAGCTGCTTCGTGCGCGTGAGTGGTACGCTAGTTTGGGCTGTCGGAGTGGCCGTAGTGGTAGTCGCTCTGGAGTGCATCGGTCGGGAGCTTCTGGTAGTGGACAGGTGCAGCAGCCGTGTCCTCCTTCGCCCCAGCTGCTTCGTGCGCGTGAGTGGTACGCTAGTTTGAGCTGTCGGAGTGGCCGTAGTGGTAGTCGCTCTGGAGTGCATCGGTCGGGAGCTTCTGGTAGTGGACAGGTGCAGCTGCCGTGTCCTGTCAGTGAGGCTGCCGCTCTAGGTGCTAGTACGTCTGTTGCCCTAGGTGCTGGTGAGGCTGCTACTCTAGGTCCTAGTGAGTCTGCGCCCCCTGGTACTGAGTCGACTGAGGCCCTGCACACCTTCACCCTGGACTCAGGTGCTTCTCGCTGTTTCTTTCGTGACCGCACTGCCCTTGAGCCGCTTGCTCGGCCAGTTGCTGTCTCCCTCGCTGACCCCTCTGGGGGTCCGGTCATTGCGACCTCCTCCACTGTTCTTCCCTGTCCTGCGGTCCCGTCGGGCACACTGTCAGGTCTCCACCTCCCCTCGTTCTCTACGAACTTGGTGGCGGGTTGTGCGCTCCAGGATGCGGGTGTTCACCAGTTCACCCCTGCCTACGAGCGCGTGACACACTGCACGTGTGCTCGGACGGGCCGTCACCTGGCTACCTTCACTCGGCAGCCGGGGTCGGACCTGTACACACTGACCACTGAGTCCCCTCAGGTAGCTGCGTCCGCGTCTGCGTCAGGTCAGCTGTCGGCCCCCTGCTCGTGTCGCTCTCTGGCGCACGACACCGTTCTCTGGCACCACCGACTTGGCCACCCGTCTGTGCAGCGCCTTCGTGCCATGCACAAACGGCAGCTTGTCTCTGGTCTTCCCAGGGTGCTCCCTCCCCTCCCACCCTCGCCTGCTCCTCCCTGTCTTCCCTGTGTCGAGGGGCGGCAGCGCGCCGCTCCTCACTCCTCCTCCTTTCCCCCGACGACTGCTCCCCTGCAGACGCTCCACTTGGACGTGTGGGGCCCAGCCCGCGTCCGTGGACAGGGTCAGGAGAGGTACTTCCTGATTGTTGTTGACGACTACTCTCGCTACACCACGGTCTTCCCCTTGCGCACCAAGGGTGAGGTCCCTGATGTCTTGATCCCTTGGATCAGCAGAGCTCGTCTCCAGCTCAGCGAGCGTTTCCGCTCGGACTTTCCTGTCCTGCGTTTGCACTCTGACAGAGGTGGTGAGTTCACCTCCGACCTTCTGGCAGCCTACTGTGCCGAGCACGGCATTGAGCAGTCGTTCACGCTTCCGGCCTCTCCACAGCAGAATGGGGTTGCTGAGCGCCGCATTGGCCTGGTCATGGAGGTCGCTCGTACCTCCCTGATCCATGCGGCTGCTCCCCACTTTCTGTGGCCGTTTGCGGTCCGATACGCTGCGCATCAGCTCAACCTCTGGCCCCGTG